CCAGCGGGGCGCCGGTATCTCACCCGGGCTTCTACCGGTCCGTGGAGACGTCTCCGTCGGGTACTCTCCTCTGCCGGGCAACTCGGTACGTCGAGACTATCTCCCCACGGCAGATTCGAGCACCTCGACCTCAACTAAACCATAACGAAATCTTACGAGAGCCTTGCCATAACTATACGAATCAACCCGAGAGCGTAGCTTCTGAGCAGGGTGGCGACCCGAAGGGAACCAGAAATCGAGAACGTTATCTGTATCGGTAACCGGAGCCGCCTTGGGACCGTGATTCGAAAAATGACGTCACAATACATAGTATGATTTTGGTCATCCAGTATTTAAGATTTCTTACAGTAGAATTTCAATGATGAACAACGCAGGAAAGAATCAGTATGATTATTAAGCGAAGGAAGAAAAAAGTGCAGCAGACTGTAGACATTAACGAATAAGAAAAGGAATGGCAGAGTCACTAAGCTTTGCGGAGAACTTTGTTTCCTCGAAGTATTACGTGATTCAAGTACAATGGCAGCTCCCTTGAAAATCTTGTGAGATTCCACGACGAACAGTGAAAGAGAGCAGGCGAGGAAGGAGAACAGCTGTTAGGGATGAGGAGCCGTTTAAATTTCAAGGAAAACTTTTGGTAAAAGCCACAATAAAATTACCATAAAAATGCCCGAGGCGACAGGAAGAAACATAATGAGAGGGAAAGATGAAAGTTCGAATATGCGTGGGAGAGAAAGGAGGAAAAAAAATCGATGAGGGAAAGCCGCTGTCTCCAGAAAATACAAAATGCACCCTAAGAAGTATTAGCAACAAAACCTTTCTACAGAATTATTCTCAGAGTGGCTACGAGGGTGTTGCAAATATAATTTTTTTCCATGTTAACGTCAGCCCCCACCTGACCGGTTTCTCGAAGCCTAAGAGTTATATATAAAGAGAGATGTAAGTATAATCTCATAATAATTTTCACGGCAACCTTTTCACGGTATTTCTCTTTATTTCATGGAAGTAAAAGACCCACCCCCTGTGAAAACGAGGCGGTCACTCGGTTTTTCCGAGCTTTTAACTTTTCACCCCCTGAATTGACCTTTCTCAGTCACCGTGAAGCACCGGCTACTTCTATGGACTTGGTCGATTCAAGAGGGTGGCTAAGTCCAGGGTGCCGCGCTCGAGCTAAGGGATGTTTAATTCACGAGGCAGTCCTTCAAACGGCATGCGAAGAAAACGCGGCTAGTGGAAAACGTATGGGGTTTCTCCTGTCATGTCGCCAATCCAGATAAGTGGTCATGCATTTATGGAGTGGCGGTCTGTTACGAAATACCATTCCCCAAGAGCCTTGCCTTCGGCAGACCCCTTTACAGCCCCATAGATATCAGGTATATATACCCATAAATAGTTAATGATTAACCATCACTTTAATTAAAGTCACTGGAGTGTATGATGCTTTCCTTTATATTTCCATTAGTTATTTCAAAACAAAGTGAAAGATATTCATCGTTCAGGGATGAAAAGAAAAGTTCTTGATCCTTCGGTACTATTTTGATTGTTATTCCATTAAGGGTTGACTGACAAGCACAATTTGCCACGGTGAATAATTTATACTACCACTTGTTGCTTCGACGATCCTGCTTCTGATTTCATCCCCTACAGGTACCAGCCCATGCGGAGCACTTGATATCACCGAGGGTGTTCCGACCTTTTCGTGCTTCACGTCGATAAAATTAGGGTTTAAGGTGCTGGGATTTGAACCTAGGACTTTCAGCATGCGATGCAGACAATTCACCACTGAGTTACCTCCATCAGGGATGAAGATTTTGGGCTCAAGAAATGTTGCATACCTAACACGAAATTTTTCTATAGAATTGAATGTCTTTTCCTTACTCGATGAAATGTCGTGTAGGATGAAAAATCTGAATTCGACATCCGATTGCGTGACTAGTCCTTCGACAAAAAGGAAATTTTCCATAGGAGCTTAGGGGTTGTTATTGGTGGATTTGCCTGGTGCCGAAAGACAAATCCTTACGGCAAGGATTGAAGAAAATCCTCGCTAGGGACTTGTGCGGCACACTACTGATCCTATGAAAATATAAGATTCGGGAAACAGTGGATTTTTCGTGAAATTTGCGAATGAAGATTTAAGTAAATACTAGTATAGCATATATCACTATAAAATTTATTAACACAGGACACTGTAAATAATTATCCATAAGTCCTGAGCAAAATTAAGGATAAACGTGGACACTGTAAATTTAAAAAATTAGTATTGCTGGGAAATTGTTTATTATATTTTTTTTTAAATTTATATTTTGTTGATGGTAGTTCCCATCATACCGGGGTTCATCTACGACATGAAACATCCCAACGCGACCCTTAGCGAACACCTTGAGATGGCAGTTGAAAAAACCACCCCAATTATGAATACGACAACCACCACAATGGCAACAACGACTCCAAAATGTTCCTGTGGACTGAATGCTTCAAATAATTCTCAGTTGGAATTTCTTACAAGTGCAGGAACTACCATGAAGTCGATAGGTATTTAAGAAAATCATTATTCACAATACTTGTTATATTCAAATGAGTAATTCATTATTTATTATGTAGAGTCAGCATCATTGCCTAAGTAGATTTAGTTTACGTACACTATTAATTATGCTCACGAATCTTTAGCTGATAATTATAAACTCTTTTGATTAGAGACCAGCACCATGAACGCGACATCTGTTCGTTCAGCAAAGGAAACAAGGCACAAGGAACTCCTGCAGGAAACTGTAGCAGTGGGAATGATGTTCGCTTCCAAGGCTTTCGTTCAACTCTTGGCCAATCCCATTGTTGGTCCACTCACACATAAGTTCGTGCCGAGCAAGAAATCTAGAAATTTTTAATATAATACACTATGAAATAATGAAAAATAATGTGTTCATTTTATTTATTTTAGAATTGGATATAGTGTACCCATGTTTACGGGTTTCATCATTATGTTTATTTCAACATTAATATTCGCCTTTGGACGCAGTTATGGGGTTTTGTTTCTGGCAAGGGCTCTTCAAGGAATTGGTTCTTCTTGTTCCAGTGTTTCAGGTAACGTTTCTGTCATTCATATCATAAAGTTGCAATTCCAGTTTATTTCAAAATATCAATTTTACATAGAACAGAAGCATCGGTGGTTCAGTGGTAGAATGCTCGCCTGCCACGCGGGCGGCCCGGGTTCGATTCCCGGCCGATGCAAATTTCTTTTTTTTTTTATTTAAGTAAAGTAATACCTCAATACGATACCGTGTAAGCATCGGTGGTTCAGTGGTAGAAGGTAACGTTTCTGTCATTCATATCATAAAGTTGCAATTCCAGTTTATTTCAAAATATCAATTTTACATAGAACAGAAGCATCGGTGGTTCAGTGGTAGAATGCTCGCCTGCCACGCGGGCGGCCCGGGTTCGATTCCCGGCCGATGCAAATTTCTTTTTTTTTTTATTTAAGTAAAGTAATACCTCAATACGATACCGTGTACTTTAGTTCTTTTAAAGATTGATTTATCTAATTACTACTTAGCTTACGCTTCCAAAATAAAATCCCTAACGGTGATAATAATGATACATATAGACTTAAAGACAAGTACTGATGGTTAGCACTAGATACCAAAATGGTAGTTGAAATTAGAAGCCTTCGTAGGAAAGAACATCCGTAAGAACCAATACTTTTGTTAGCTCGATGGCGAAGCCTGTGATATATGATATATATATTGTTCGTATCTTAGTTCGTACCTGTGCTATGAAAGTAGATAAAAGATTGTGGATATAGGTACTCGGTTGCTGCTCTTTCTTTGCAGTCAGAGAAAGAAGCATACATAGTCAATATCAGGCCGTCCGCGTGGCATGCGAGCATTCTATCACTGAACCAGCGATGCTTGTGATCGTTAAAAGCAAAGATCCTTGGATCAACCCCGATTACAGAATTATTAAATTAATATGACTAATATTGTTCCTATAGGTATGGGAATGTTAGCCGAGAGATATCCGGACGATAAAGAACGTGGAAACGCAATGGGCATAGCACTTGGTGGTCTGGCCCTGGGAGTTCTTATTGGTCCACCCTTTGGCGGTTTTATGTATCAATTTGTTGGAAAATCCGCACCCTTCCTGATCCTGTCAGCCCTGGCACTTGGCGATGGACGTTAGTGACACAAAATAAATTATAATCAATTCGTCGTCTGACAAAGCAAGCCTAAAATTAACGAAAATAAAATGAAATTAGTCTTGCAGCTCCTAATGCTTCAGCCATCAATAGTTTACACAGAAGCCGAACCGCCATCGTTAAAAGCTCTTATAACGGATCCCTACATCGTGATAGCAGCCGGTAATGGAAATTTAATACATAAAAATTTATTGCATATATATATATAATGCATTTTTACTGCAGGTGCCATAACATTCGCTAATATGGGTATCGCTATGCTCGAACCTAGTTTACCTATATGGATGATAGATACCATGGGCGCAAGTAAATGGGAGCAGGGAGCCACATTTTTACCTGCTAGTTTGAGCTATCTCATTGGAACTAATTTATTTGGTCCCCTGGGACACAGAATGGGAAGGTATGCATAAAAATTACTTTTATTTATTTCTATATTGTAATCGGTATACGTCTGTTCAACGAAAAGGACCAGTGGAGATGTGAAACCAAGGGCCCGGATAGCTCAGTCGGTAGAGCATCAGACTTTTAATCTGAGGGTCCAGGGTTCGAGTCCCTGTTCGGGCGATTATTTTTTGTCTTTTTAAATAATCAGGGCGCTTCAGATCATCACCGATGTCATCCTTATGATATAATATAAATAATATAAATGAGTCACTGTCCTGATTGGCAATTTAATTTAACAGTGTTCCAAGGCGTTTGTATGTTATCATAACTGAATGTGGCTGCGATAAAGTTGTAGTGACGTAACATCACGTAGATCAACAGAGTACATGTATACTTGACATTCTTTTATTACAGATGGCTCGCGTCTTTGATTGGACTTGTCGTAATTGGCCTTTGTCTTATATGTGTGAGTTTTGTAGAAACTAAAATATAGATTGTATTTTTTTTTTATAATTGATTAGTAATCGTATTTTGTCTCTTTTTTTAGATACCATTCGCAAGAAATATAAATCATTTGATATTACCCAACGCTGGTCTTGGTTTTGCCATTGGCATGGTGGACAGTTCTATGATGCCTGAACTTGGATATTTAGTTGACATACGTCACACAGCTGTTTATGGTAGCGTTTACGCCATTGGGGATGTTGCATTTTGTTTGGGATACGCCATAGGTATGATTATGAAAATTATATGACTATTCTTTCTATATATAGTTTTATTTAAAAAATCATAATTGAAACATCAATAATATTCATGCTAGAAAATTATACTTTCTGGTATAAATATTTTAAAGTATAAACGCTTTGAGCCAGGATTAGATAACTTAATTACTAGTAGTCGTCTATCGATAACTCTGCTGAATTACAAGGTTATAATGAATTCCATGACTGCGATGATAACATTATCTAAATTTCTTAAGACTCAAAGAATTTATCAGAGTTTCTGATAGATGGCGTGACTTATGTTCTATAATGATCATCCTTGAACTTACTGTTACTCGAATATATTATCTAACGCATACTAATGAGAGTGTAAAGAAACCTTACTAAATGTATTCAGTATTGGCTACGTGAAAACAAAACAAGTAACGGTGATAATAATTTAAAAAAAAAAGTTATTCCTTCACCGTGACAATGTTTACACATTGCCGTGACCAGGATTCGAACCTGGGTTACTACGGCCACAACGTAGGGTCCTAACCACTAGACGATCACGGCTATCGAAGGCGGTGAGAAGTATTTGTTCTCAGAGCTATGAAACGCGCGTTTACGTAGTTTTTTGTGAGGGCAGAAACAGGTCAAATATCGGTAACCGGCGTGGACGAAAGCCCAAGAAGTCATTATAGACAGGGCAAAAGTGCTTGGAGTATGTGATAGAAGACGCAATAAATCCAAAAGTGGAATAAGCGGACAACGGACTTTTGGTAGGAGATGATGGCCACTTGGAAACGAGAGGAAGTAGACAAAATAACAAGGTATTTCGCTGGGCACGAACGATCTGTGACAACGAAAGACCATGAGGCTCTTAGCGCTGTTTTGCCATGGGTTCCGGAAATAAAAAAGAAAGTTCTGCAAATCCGGGATAATCACCCGAGGCCTACAGCTCCCCCGCGGAACCACCTGATCGGCAGACGAACTCAGGCAGTTGCAGGTGGAATACTCATAGGCAGTGGGACAAACCAAGGAGCAAAAACTGTAAGCGATCGGCCCTCAATTCCTGAGAAGATCCATGAAAAGCCTGTCCGCACAACTGCGGAATAAATCCCTGGAGATCTACTATGGCACAGTAACAGTTCAGTGGATGACAATAAGAAGAAAGAGAAAGGTCAAGAAAGCGCGGATAACAAAGGACGTGGCGATGGTGACATCCAGAAGACCAGAGAGCGCAGCGTATTGTTGTGCGCGAGCAAATGAAACAGCGTGCGCGCACTGATAACGCTTAACATCTGAGACAACAGGCGCACACAGATAACACCCAAGAACTCAACGTACCACCGGAGGATACCAGCCGAGAAATCCCGGCACAGATGGGGACACAGCATAGGGACTCGGCAGGTATACCACCCGAACCAACTGAAGGTAAGAGAGCATCTGTAAGACACCGGGCGCGCACGAGTAACGTCCAAAAGACCTGCGTACCACCGGAAGATACAGGCCGAGAAATCCCGGCACAGATGGGGACACAGCATAGGGACTTGCCTGGTACGTCGTCTGAACCGGTAAGCGCGAAAACAAGGCACCGTAACACAGCGCCGACATCACAATCAAGGCGAACACACAACGAGGCGCCGGACGAAAAGTTGAGGGAGAAATTCAAAAGTACGTGGTCGCATGTGGCAGATGCGAGGCCGAAAATAAAGAGGATCAACCGCAACATAAATCCTGCACTTGTTGCGAACATCGATGCGATATTGAACGAGGCGCTGAATGAAATTGCCGCTGGAGACCATCCCAGCCACAAAAAAAGAGAAGAATCAAAGAGTGCAATATACGCTGCTGCGGCAATACTGTCACAGGAGACACGCAGTATTCGAAATGCAGGTAAGCCAAAACACGTCGCAATTGGGCAAGTCATTGACAAACTCAAGAGACAAATATCGTTGACAAAGGAGCTACGAGCTTGCAAAGGAAGGCACCTAAGGTACCCTCTGAAGAAGAAGTCCAGGGAACTGCGAAAACTGAAGATGACTCCGACACAGTACATAGCAACAACGACGGACAGAATCCAAACGTTACAAAGGTCTCAAGAACATCAAAAAACACCGAGCTGGCACTGCGAATGAGAAAGAAATTCGCGGAACAACCATCACTGAGGACCATACGCACGAGGACGAACAGAGTAGAACCAACAGTGCCGGTAGTGGAAAGCTTCTACAGGAACCTCTACGGCTGCGCAGAGGAGACCAACAGGAAGCCCACGCCTAGGTACAATGCATGGATAGCGAGACTCCATAGATTCAAAGAGTCGACCGACCCTCAGCATCTTGATACAGGGGAGCTGGAAAAGATGGTGACCGCTTCCCTGAGAAGATCTGCGCCCTGGAAAGTACCAGGCGAGGACGCGATACCTGCCGGCGTCTACAAAATATTCCAGAGTGCCCGGAGGTACCTCACACAGCACATATGCGAGGTATTGAAAGGCGAGCGAATATGCGGGGAAAAAGATGTTCGAGGGAAGGTCATATTGTTACACAAGGCAGGCGACCCTGAAGATCCGGCAAACTACAGGCCGAGGGAGAAGGAGCGTCCTTCCTACCTGGGATACGCGAGGGCTACAAGTACCTAGGAATAGTCCAATTAGAGCTGGACACGGAAGTAAACGTACAAACGGTGGCTCAGAAAACTGTGCGAGGGACTCGGGAGATCCTAGGCTCGAAATTAACACCTGCGCAGAAAATTCATCTCATCAACACTTCAGTGGTGACGGCGGCCACGTATGTGCTCGGCAATATGTTTTCTGCCATGAAGAGAACATCCAACCTCAAAAGGTGCAGGAACCTGGACAAGGAAATCAGAAAATTATTGACCGAGCATAACATCAAAACGTATTCCACGTCAAACGCGAGCGTTTACCTAGACAAAAGGACTGGGGGCTTAGAACTGAAGGCTGTAGCAGACGAAGTAGAGTTACAGTACGTCAGGAAAGGAGCATACCTGGAAAAGCACCCTGACCTCGAAACAACCAGAAGGAGGTACGCGGCGTTGGAACGGAAAGGATGGAAGAATCCGAAAACAGACGCCGAAGCGATCCTGGAGGAATACGGAGTAGACAAGCAGAAGTGGGAACCGATACGCGAGGCGGGAGAGTACGCAAGGACCTTGGCCAAGGAAACCGGGAAAATGCAGCAGGAGAGATGGTTGACCGAGTGGGGAAGACACATGAGCTACGGGCGTCTCGTGGCTCATGAGAGAACACAAATAGCCTTCCCAGCCTTCACATCCCACTATATGGAGGATTGGCGACTCTCCATGTTGCACGCTGCGGCAGAAGAGCAGCTACAGGGCCTTGGTGCTATCCCTACCGAGAGGAAGCAATGTTCCAGAGGATGCGGTAAACAAGAAACGGCCTACCACGTGGCGGTGTCGTGCCCGACGCTCGAATATAATACGAGACACGACATTATTGTCGCAAAAATATTAAGAGCGATTGTGGAATATACGGCACCACCGGATCTGAGGAAAAAGTGCCAATTCGCCAAGGCAACGATGGTCAAAGACTACAACTGGGGAAGCAGTTTAGTCAAAATCAGGGCTGGCACGCCCATAAGGACTGACCACCAAGTGAAACACAACAAACCGGACATCTGGACAATTGGAGCGTTCGGCGAAACGATCGACACCGAGGAGAGAAGACGAACTGTGGCCATGCTTAGTAAAATCGGGGTTCCAATTTGGAAAGGAAAACAACTCCTCAACAACGCGTGTTATAGCGCTGCAGTGTCCACAACGATTCTCACAAACAAAACTCATATTCACTAAAGCAACCATGATAGAGGACTACAGCTGGGGCGGCAGGTCAGTAACAATCAGGACAAGAGTGCCCATAAAGACTGACAACAAAATGACCCACAACAAATCGGATATGATTATTCTCACCAACTCAGATAAAGTCCTCATCATAGAAATCGCTGTTTCACACCTGAGTAACATATAAGGTTCCAAGTAAAAGATCAAACGCATAAGGTACGAGATCAACTGTGTATCACAGGTTAACAAGGAGAACGTCGACGTGATTACGAGGGACACCAACTTCATCGCAGACCTTAGACATTTATGCAGATGCCCGGTGGAGCTTGGTGCACCAGTAATTTGAGAATTCGGTGAAACGTTTGACGCCAAGTAGAGGAGAAGCACCGCAGCCATACTCCAGAAAATCGAAGTTCTAACTTGGAAGGGAAAGCAACTTATCAACAGCACTTGTTGCAGTGCTGCAGTGTCCACGAAGATGATCCTTACGAACAGCTAGTCGAACAATTTCTTGTTCAATCTTCATCCGATGTCTCGCCATGTGTTCGCGTTGTTTCTTTTTACGGCGTTGTATTGTGATGCCATGTTGTTATTGGTTCTGTTGCGTTTACCAGCTGAGCGTTGACAGGTCCTGCATATGGTAATGCAGGTATTGTTGGTTCGTGTCTCCACTGTCAGTTAGCCTAGATATCGTACCAGTCGAGTCCCTGTGCTGTGTCCCCATCTGTGTCGAGATTTCTCGCCTATTATTGTCAGCTAATACGCTGGCTTTTTATTCCTATCGACGCGCGCACATTGTCTCACTTGTTCCCCAATAGGCTGTCCTCTCTGCGACTCCCTCGTCGTCGTTGTTGTTATTGCGTCCTTCTTTTCCACATGCTTTCTTGATCTTCCTTCTCTTCACTCTCACCTCACGTGGATCGTCTGCCATAATAAATCTCCGGGGTTTTATTTCGTAATTGTGCGGCCATGCTTTCTGTCGATCTTCCTGAGAACTTGTAGACGATTGCTTGTAGTTTTTCTTCGTCAGCTTTTCCTGCTGCTCGTGCACATTCTTCTTGCAATCGTCTGAACTCGTCAGACAACCACGTGGCGAGGGACCGTCGTTCCCTCGGGTGTTCTCGAATTTGCAGTATTTTCTTTTTAATTGCTGCGATCGATCTTCCTGAAAAAATTACTTTGAGAGCGTCATGGTTTTTCGTTGTTACTGGCCCATTGTGCCCTTCGAAATACATACCTCTTTATTGCATCGGTTTCCTCCTGCTTCCATGCGGCCATTTTTCCTTTATCTTCCCTTCGAAAGTCCCTTATCTTCCAATCCACTTATGCACTTATTTCGTTTATCCATACACACTCCAAGCACTTTGTCTAGTCTTAATGTTCTTTTTCTGGCTTTCTTTCGTGTTTCTGTCCGCTCTTGGAGATCGTTATTAATTTTTAAAAGGTGTATAAACACAAGTTTCGCGGCTCCGAGGCACTAACACGTCTCACTGCCTCCGATAGCCGTGATCGTCTGTTTCCTCCTGTTTCCAAGTGGTCATCCTCTCCTACCAAAAGTCTGTTGTCCTCCTACTTCCACTTTTGGATTTATTCCGTCTTGGATTTGTCCCATACACACTCCCAGCACTTTGGCCTGTCTATAATGACTTGTTGGGCTTTCTCTCGCGTTTGTTGCCGATCTTTCATTAGCTTCCAAGTTAGAATTCCGATTTTATGGAGTATGGCTGCGGTTCTTCTCCTCGTTTCGATGTTACCGAATCCTTCAATCACATGGACACCAAGACACATATCGATGTCTGCATTACCTACTCCACGTAGGTAATGAGTAGCTGCGAAGTGAGTTACGTAAGAGAAAATAATTGTGGAAACGTAAACCAAGTACTAATTGGATAAATAAATCTCGAAAAGAACTAAAGTACACAGTATGGTATTGAGGTATTACTTTACTTAAATTTAAAAAAAAAAAGTTAATTTGCATCGGCCGGGAATCGAACCCGGGCCGCCCGCGTGGCAGGCGAGCATTCTACCACTGAACCACCGATGCTCATGTTCATGTTAAAATATCCTGAATTATTCGCTCGCCATATTAAGGTCAAATTAAATTATTTTTCATTTAATTGACAGGACCAGCCGTCAGCGGGACCTTAGTGAACAGTATCGGTTTCGAGTGGATGCTCTTCGGGATAGCCCTTTTGAATTTCCTCTACGCACCGCTCATGTACATCTTACGGGCGCCACCTACGAAAGAAGAGAAAAAGGTAAGAAATAAAATCATAAGACATATTAATTTCTTTGAATCTTCAAACACTGATTAATACGTCCTTTTTCAGTCGCTAATTATCGGTGAAAAATCGTCGGTTCGTTATGTCACGTATCAAAACGAGGAGGAGGAGCAGTAAACCGTTAAGGAGCCAGAAAGAAAAATTTGTTAATAATAATATCGCTAATAAGAATTTTTTTTTCTTTTTCGTCAAACGCAAATATCAGACCATCAGGAATATTGCGTCTATGTTAAAATTTGAGCTTTCATACTTTCACTGTCGCGGCTATTTTCTTTCCCTTTCTCGACCCTCTGTTAAGAATGTAGATTTGACTTTAGTCGCCAAGGATTCTATACGCTTTCTGCGAATCAAAGTACCGTTGCAACGATCGGCAAGACGATCGAAGCTATGATAATCGTATCGGAGAAAAAAAGATATTAAACAGTATAAAAATAAACACGAAAACAGAGACTGAAATCAGTAAGTCTCTTACAGGAGTTCCAAGACTCGATCGTCCATACCTGAACTCGTATGTGGTACGTGTCTAGTAAAATACCGAGTTTTCTGAAAAGTCATATCAGTAATACAGAATTATCTAAGTATCAAGTTTTCTTTATAAAATCAATAATTTTCAACTTTCTAATTAACCTCTGACAATGACAAACAAAATTCTATATCCTTTTGGTAACAATGATGCTTATTCATTTTCATAAGATTATTTACTCATTTTATCAGTATTTCGAATTTTCGGATACTCGGTCGATAGATGATAGGTTAGTATGACACTCCTAACATATACGTATCTATTTTTAGGATAATTATATATATATATTAATATACACACCCGTACGTATGATCTACTGACAAACGTCATTCAGTATAACAAATATTTCATTTCTCACTGTGTTAAATTCTCATATTTTTCCAAATGAAATTCTCCAAGCTTCTTTATCTTTCATTTGATCGTTGAGGGACGAACGCGAAGTAGTTGATAAATAATAATTATCGTAAAGAGAATATACGAGACACTATACTTGCTTGACGTATAAATTACGAAAATAATCTAGAAAGTAGAGGGAGCTACCGTTAAAGAGAGAATAAGGAAAGACGAAGAATAAATTATTCATAGAATTATGTATGTATAAATATATAAATAGGTCTATAATTATAAGACGGACGTATACTAATACCATAGACCGTTATACAATGTATGTTAAAGTAAATGAGATAATTGACAATGGCTTCATTTATGAGGACACGTTAGGTACAGATAATTAATGTATGTTGTATCGCATAAAGTTCAAGCCTGATGTTCAGAAAAGAAACGTGGCTGCGTTTAATTTGAGGAAAATCTTATGAAACGTCCGTACAGGAGAAGGCAAAGAAATATGTTAAAAATCAAGATCGATTAAAGGAGCAAGATTTTGAGTAAGATAAATGACTGAAGGAATGAGAATATTCTGAAGAGGACGATACGAGAGAAGAATAATAGACAAAAAGCCAATTGTAAAAGCTTGCTTTCTCGCGACGGAAGGACGACGCTTATTCTTCGTTGAAGATTCAAAATTTATGAGATTAATTGGAGAATCGCCCATTCTGGATTCCCTGAATGGCTGCAGGGAAACCGTAAATTGGAATGGGCCTTTATGAAGAATTCTCCCACGTATTCGAAGCAACGAATTAGATTAATGGCGTTAGTTTGTCAAGTCGCCCGCGAAGAAGAAGGTCGGCCGTTTACCCGGAGTTTAGCAATACTAACGAAATTGGCGGCCGGGTCGAGTTCGTGAACGACCAAGAACACTTAAAGAGAGAATTCGCAGTGAAAAACTACACGTGTAGCAACCCTTTCTAATGTTACTTTATGGAAAAAAAATCTTATAACGTACCTAAAGGCAAAAGAGAAAAGTGTCCCAGGCCTCTGGAAAAAAAATTTAGCGCGTTCGTAGAAGCAATATTGATAAAGAAAAACAAAAAAAAAGAAGCAAAAACCAAGAGAAAAAAATGAGATTGTACCGTAATAATTAACCGATTGTTGTGTACACGCCATTATAACATGGTGACTATCGTAGTCGTTAGAAGGGAATATATATTGATCGTTTGAAATTTGATCGTCGTTGGTATTTATTATTCTTCATTACGCTGGCATTAAGCATATTAAATAGATCTAATTGAATAATTTAAAACGATGACTTTCGATTCTACGCGAATAAAATAGTACGATTGACTCGAGGATAAATCACCAAATGGATTATATGCTATTATAAACGTACAAGCTGTATTATTAGAGTTTAATGTCCTACAAGATCCTAAGCTACAGAGTGTACCCGATAATGCATGTTAAACAATTAGATTAATATATGCCATTGCACCGTGATAAACGTTACACGTATTAGATGTTTGAATTTGTTCTATGTATAACGTAAAAGGAATGTGTATAATTATATAGATGTATAATCACTGTAATATTTTGGGCATTAGAATAGCAGAGTAGAGTTAATCTTGGAGGCCTGGCACGCTAAGAGAAAAAAATATTTGTTCGCCAAAAAAATTTGTTAAGACAGTAGAATAGATATTTCGAAAAATTGAAATTAGATGGTACTGACAGATTTTTGCTGCGAATTCACATCGAACTAAATGAGGCTACTTTGTATTGCTTTGGTACTGCATTGTTGGCCTACTCCCGGTACGAAACGCGAGTCAATTTTTTTTGTCGTTCACGAGGAGGCAGCATGAAGAGTGGAAACAGTGTGAGAGAAAAAAATGATTATGAAAAAATTTTATATAATCAAAAAATATATTAATAGTAATTGTAATAACGAAGATGCCTCTCGGAAGCTCGACCGGCCTTCTCTCGTCCACTGGCGAATTTCGGAGCTGGTATTTTTTTTCTATTTGGAAAGTGACTTTTGAGTCATTAACCATTAGTTTGTAATACACGTGCGCTTTGGAAATAGTACAGAATGTAAATAAGTAGTTGCAAGGTGGGAGTGCTTGAATGAGGATGATTGCCGTTGATGAGGATGATCTTGTTTTGAGAGTGATGATAATGTGCGTGACGATAATGACGCTGCTGCTGAGATACCTTGAGGAATGTTCTTTGAGCTCAGGAATTAATGATTTCTTCAAAATCTTCATTTTTCACTAATTCAAAATTCTTTACTTGCTAGGCGACCAATTGAAATTCATGGCAAGATCATTGAATGACGTTTATCTTGATTCTATGTAAACACAGTACTACGTTCACTTGTTAAACTTATAAGTGACAGTTTTTTGAGAGCAGAATTGGCATAATTTTTTGTATATTTAAAAGTATCCCGAGTCTCTGTATGGAATATAAAAATGAAAGGAAAGAAATGCAGAATACAGTAAAAGGGGAGGATAAGTAGTGATCATACTAGTATAGATAAGAGCATCTCGAATTGCGTATGCAATCAATAAAAAGAAAATGCGTGAACGATGTGAAAATGAAAAAAAAAATAGAAAAAAGATGATGCCAATGGTTATGTACAAAGAATGAATGCAGAGGAGTAACGCGCGATTTAGTGACATATCATTTATAACGGAATACAACGAAGAACGTGAATTCTTCAAAATTCTTCATCCTCCTCTGCCCCTTCTGTACTCTTTTTTTTGTTACATAGCTTTGTACATCAATTTTACCATTGGTTACTCGGTGTTGGGACGCTCTAAAAGTAATGCAAAAAAAATTAAGAGCATGAATTATACTGAGCCAAAATAAACTTGAGGAGCGTTTTCACACCGAATAATTTATTATATATATATGCACACGTATATTTGAGGTTGTAATTGATTTTTCCGTATTTTTCAATCTAAAAATACCTCTGCGTCTTAAGGAAATGAATTAGGAAACGGAACTGTACGTAATGAATATTAACCTCCCTTTCGCCCTAAAGTTGTCGCCTAAGGTCTTGTCGCTTGTCCCCACGAACTTCGATTTCCGTTAACGCGCCGAAAGGGACCGATTTTTAAAATCGACAAAGCTCGGTGACTCGTTGAGGGCTGCTATTGTGAACAGACAATAAGCGAAAAAAAAAACCGAGAAGAGAGTTTATCTCGTGCGCGCGCAACTCTTCCCGTACACGTCGAGATGGCGGTTCGATCGCCAATACGATCGATAGAGATATCGACTTTTTGAGGGGCGATCGACCAGCTTATCATTCCTTCTTTTATTGCGTACAAATTTCTGTTACTTTCTTACGTTACAATGTTCGTCTCCTCACTTTCGCTTTTTTCGCGACAATCGTAAGAAGTCTAGCACTAAACCTACCAGAGCGGTCAAATGACCGCTTTTGAGACTTTAATCAAAATTGTTAAATTCCAGGTTTTTATTTTTCTTGAACTTACTGCACGACTATGCTAAATTCTATATTAATTACAATCAACTGGAAAAGACTATAATGTTTATTTCAAAAGCGGTCATTTGACAGCCATCGGTAGAAATAGGTATATATGATATGTCGGTAGGTTTAGTGCTAGAGGAGTCGAAGAAAAAAATCACTCTAAACTTTCCGATACTTCCCCCACGAAAGAAGCCGAAGATTCACGAACAATGCCCTTGTTTTCCGTTTCGTTGGGAATCTAAAAACAAATAAAGACAATTTTATTGGCATTCATAATTAGTATAAGAAGTCGTTTTAGAAAGATCAAAAGGCAGTCGGGGGGACGGAGAATGGCAATGATTAAATTAAAACATGCATGACTCAATTTTGTCAACGCATTATTGCTCCAGTGATATTTTGCAAGACGCATTCGTTTTTGTTCGATTAATTGTCGCCATTGTCGACGATGCATAACGAGAAAATATAACAAGCTAATGGAAGATACAGTTAAAATAGTTAATCGATTAAGTAAATACATAATGGAGGCGTGTCCCACGAGAAGTTGCGTTCGATAAAATTAACCGTGTCGTATTGTCGTATCTTAAATATCATAATCAGCTGGTGTATGGGTCCGACATAATGCCTGTGTGTAGTTGAATAACTAGAGAGAAAGATAGAGAGAGAGGAAGCGAGAGGCGACACGAGAGAAAGTATACAAGAAGGATAAAGAAAGTAAGAAAGATATATAAACAAAGAAAAAAAAAAGATGAGTAGAAATTCTGTGGAAATGCATATTCTCCACAAATTTGTAAGATCAGAGAAAAGTGACAGATATTACATAACAGATAGTTAAAAAAATACAAAAAAAATATAAGAAGGCTATATTAAAAAGAAATCATTAATATATACTCGATTATATTATTATATAGTTACTGATTATAGGCGACGTTATCATTATAATTGTCGAGGAGAAAGTCCTCGTAGTGAAAGAGGGATGAGAAAGGGATTAAAAGAAATTATCCGGCTCCGAGGGTCGCCAGGTATTTCAAAGAAAAAAAAAAGTATTGGAAAAAGAAAGTGTTAAAATGAGAAATATACGTATACGTCATTGGTCTTGGAGGGGAATAAAAATGATATCAAGAACTCGAAAAATTTCTCCTTACGGTCTAAAGATAATTCAGAGAAACTATAGAAAAAAATATAAAAGATAAAAATTCACGTTTAGCCGATTGCAGACCGATTCTAATTCGTTTAGCTTGACTGTTACATCAGAATAGCAATTCGTGGTACTTTATCAGTGTACCTTATGTATTATCGTATGTATATGTTCATGAGAAATTTATGCTGTGTCTATTAATAAAAGTAAACTGTACCGATTGATTTTGGATTTTGTCTTTAAATTTTGTATTCTCCAATTTGAATTCCTTAGAGGTTTTCTTGCTGGGAGACATGTGATTTACCAGATCCTGTGGTAGATCCTCAATCTTCATCTCCCTGTTTGAAATCTTTTTTACATGACGCAGCATCTCTCGCGTTTGATCCATAGTGCGACGTAATTCGTCTGGGATAAGATTATTATATGCAAAGATATTTATTTCTTTACTATTGCTTTAAGGAGATAATGTGGACCACATCTTACCAATGCCGGGATGAACAGTTTCCGGTACAGATTCTGTGGTGCCCGGATCACCTGCTTCTTTGAGTTTCAAGAAGCATTCTTCGTCTGAGAGGGTTGATTATTAGATTAATTATATATTACTAGATCAAGGTGAATGGAAGTAACAAAAAAATATTACCATAAGCCAGATCTCTTGAGGCGAGGACTTTATTTTTCTCGGTTAAGTAATTGATTTCTTTTACGCGTTGGTTTGTCATATCCAGCAAATTTCTATTCAGCTCTATTCTTCTTGTTAAAGCTGCCAATTGCAACTAAAATAAAATTAATACTTCATTAACACTTTACTTATTGACAGTCAGTTTCAATTAATTTCACTAAGTGGTTTTCAATAATCTTCACATACAAAATGTTTGTACAACTTAAAGCATCTGACAGACTAGGTAATTGAATTTAATCAGTGCTTGATTGCTTTTAAAAATACCTTGATGTATGATTTTAGTTAATAGACTTACATCGATATCTGTTGCCTTTGTACTTTCTACAGAGATGTGTTGGTCGCTAACAACATCATCCAGAATTCCACAGAGAAATTTGAATGGCTCTACAGGATTTTCTCTTGCACGAATAAGTGAATCTTGTAGATCCTGAGGTGTTAAGTCATTGAATTCCATGACCGATGTAGAAGGTCCTTCGGAGCCAATTAATTTTTCTACTGACCCTTCGGCTGCTATCATTTCTTCAAGAGTTTTGGATTTTAATGTTTTCCCCAAATTTTCTGGTAGAGCCCTTGCATCCTTTGTATTCTCAGTGGTCTGTGCTTTTCTGCTCTTAGAATTCCTCTTTGAGGAATCAACACCATCTTTTTTTGTACTAAATAAAAAATACTTTAAACTTCTATTTAAAAGAATATATAATTCCTTTTGGAAACTGAGTTCTTACCTTTTTTTCATTACTGTCCTTAAAACTTTGATGTTAGAATAAAAACATGAACATGTGGGAATCCTACTGGTTACCATGACATCAAACTGTTGGATCAATTTTTTAGAAGTGCTAGATACAAGGAGAAGCAGGTAACTATATAAAAAACAAAAAAAAGAATATTTTCAGTAATCATTTTCATAAGTAACATTTATTTCAGCACGTATCCTCATCAGTATATAAAACAGATTAATAAAATTAATAATGTTCAAATGTGTCTATCGCCTAATGACTATCTAGTTCATGTTACTTACAAAAGAATCGTACACACGAAAAGATCAGGAAGAGGATAGAAAGAGATAGAGAAGAGTGTAGAAAAGAAGAAGAGAAAGTTGGGAGGTACAAGAGAAGAAATAATAAAAGAAATACCTTCAAACGTGAAACCAACAAGGCTCCTACTAAATAATAAATATATCGTGATTTTATGTATACGAAGATTGCTCCTTAATCTAGAAGTCACAATTAGTCTATAATTATTCAATCTAATCCAGTCCTAATTTCAAAGGATAAATTAGTTTTTAGTGCTACCCGAGTACAAAGCACCTTTAACTATGTTACCAGAACAAAAACATCTTCACCTTGTATCACACAATGCGACTCCATCTATCTCAAAAATATTGAACAAAGAAATCATGATAAATTATTTGTTCAAAAGTCAAAATGGATTCAGGACCAGTTAGTCAATTAACTGCCAGTTTATAACTCTCATACTTTATAATCCGAATGGTTTATCTCTACGCCCCACCTATTCGAAAATAAAATGGCTGACCGGCTTTGACCAATGAAATAGAAAGAGTAGTTGTAGCATTTTGGAACGCAGATTCGACAGATGAAAAGAACCTATTATTGTTATTATACGCTTACGCAAACAGTGTATTTGTAACAAATAGTATATATCACAGGTAAGTGGCCTTCGATGATCTAGAAGTAGATGAGTCGAGCGTCTTCCGGATTCTGTTCAACGGGACAGTACGGACACTTGAGCCTGGAAATAAATTGGTTCCTTTTTAAAAAGTGATTTCGATATCGGTGCACCATGACCTCGCATTCCTCGAGCGACTTACTTGTTCGCGCTTGTGAGTTTATTGAGAGCGTCCCGCGATATCACGTGACCACAGACCAGTTTCATTGGCGGATTATTTTCAGTGCTTTGCTGACGAAGAATCGGACAGGCGAATACCGAATGATACTGACTCTGTTTTCCTAAGTCAATTTCGATCTGTAGATAACGTATTAATTAGAGATACAGTAAATAAAATATAAGGCGAAGCAGACAGGAAACCTTACCGGAAGTTCGTCCTTGCCATTCCAAATACCAGTAACCTGTCTCTGTTGCATTACTTGTTTTATGTTTAGTAATGCCGGCAAGGCTGTGCATCCAGCATTTATACTGCAAAGGATATTATTATATAGAGATTCGTAGAATGAATTAGAAATATTAAAAGAGGTTGTACGACGAAGTCAAAACTTGCCATACAGATAATGGACTGTCTACACTGAGTCCAAATAGCATACAGGCATCTTTGGCGAATACGTCATGAATGTCAAGCCATAACGTGGGATCTAAAAGGTGACTGTACGGAGAAGACTGTATTCCGTTTGGCAGATACAGTAAAGTGCCCATCAAGGATTGAACTTCCTTTTCATGACGACTTACAAACTCTGTGAGATGCTTGCGAGCATACATTATAGCTTCTGCCTGTTTACTTGGGCCCTGTTGCACTAGTCTTATGAAGTGTAGTCTGTGTAGTTTGAATTCCAGAGAGGAATCCTGAATACATTTATAATGTAAGTTTAGAGTATAAAATTAATTAATGTATATATTTACCATTGCTAAAAGAGGTTCTCTGAAATGTCTGGCCCATTCTAAAGCTGGTTCTAGGTTTCTTTGCTTAAGACAATCCAATATATGATTCAATCCTGCAAATGGCTCCTTTGAGCCTTCATCGCTCTCTATAGAAGCTTCCTGAAATATATATATTATATGAGCAACGAGATCATTAGTTATAATAATTCAATGTCGAATCTATATTTACCGCTGCTAATTCATCAGCAATGTCAAACATTCCCTGACGATAAAAGTGCCGACAAATAACTTCATTGAGGAGATGAGTCTTTTCTGGTCCGGAGAATACATCCTCACGACTCGTACTAGCAAAGTCTGCAATAAAGTTTCTGTCTATTGCCTTGCCAACTTTGGAGACAGTACTGTGAAGATCCCGGTGATCTGTTGCCAAGCGTTGTACCGTATCTCTGACTTTAGTCATTGCTTGTTTCAAAACTTGAACCTGTCCTGGTGTTAGTTCATGATCGGATGGTGCTGTTTGAAAGATGCCATTTTTGAGAAATGCATGTCATAAGTGTTCCATCCATCAATGTATATGACATACAACTCCAAGTATTAGAAAGTAAATAAGACAAGGCTAATGATATAAAATAAATGATAAATAACAAATTACAAAAGTACTAATTTCGCGTAACAACTGTGTCGTGTACAGGATATAGAAAAATAAAGATATATCCAATAAGGACAACGCAACGTTTTGCAAAATACAGAAGAGATGCTTTGTTCTAATTACAGTTGCTGGAATATAACAAAACTGTCGAGTACCTTCTTCTAGTTCCTTTTTTAAGGACTCAATATGATTGATAAGGTCACGCAACACAGTGCCTGCATGTTCGTTTATTGCTCCAAATTTTAATAAAACTTTATCAACTTCGCGTTCAACAGCATTGCAAGCCTCCATTATTGTTTTTCTCACTGATATTGCGCGTCACTACTGACGTCACTGGTGTTTTCTTGCGACTCTGGCGCCTCTATTTCCTACAAACGTCATTGGTCATTTACAAGATCCAGGAGAGAACGGTACCATTGCTAACATACCACAGCTAGTTATATTTTTAATTTTTCCTATTAATTTTTCAGATTATACCTTTAGTAAAACTAGTCTTCTTTCCCATTCCAAAAAAAAGTCATTTTACCTTTTCTCGAAATTACCGAAGCATTGTTGTTGCTTTTCCGAAGTGTCCATTGGCCGTTGATGTTCATTGTGAAATTGAAGTTTCGCGCGCGAGTTTACGGAGCGCAATCAGTTTGACATTTGTGAGGTAACGCCGCGGTGAATTTGGAATTCAGAAAGAATCAGAATATAGTGTTTTTTAACTATTAGAGATAGTTGCAATTTAGCTCTCATTTATGAAACGTCAATGTACTGCAATTAACGTTATATAAATAAATCAAGAATAAATTGCAATCAACATGTGCATTACTTTTAATATTGTTACTTTTAAAACTTGTATATATTAACATTGAGAAAGCAGGAATCCCAGTGGGTAACAGAGGCGCTGGAAATTGTAAAATTTGTCGAAGTGCAGAACCCTCTAAATCGGAGGAGGGTCAGGACTCGGTTTTTTTCTTCAGTCCCCAAAACGCGGTCCTCCGTTGAACCTCGGAGGGTCCTTAGCTCCTTCCTGGAGAGGTAGGACCTCACGGAAATGGGCGGGGAGGGGCCGATTTCACAACATTCTTTCCTACCTTCTTCATTCTCTTTTAAAAACTTTAAAGCTCCTTTCTTTTATTATCTTCAACGTTTTGCTACTTCCCGCGAATCACTCAACCAATTATCAAAAGTCTAACTTGGAATATTTGCACCTCGAGTGGCGACAACTGGAACTACAACTTTCACCTACATCATACTCACATATAATATCACAGCTTCCCAATTTTTCTCAAGATGTGTACTACTTATTTTGAATTTATCGTCAAATAATTAACATAGTATTCTCATTATCAGGTTTTCAGTATCTTTAATTCTATACGAGTTATTGGTACAGTAAATTCAGCTACCGACTGCTCAATTAAGATATGCAACAGTATAACAATATAACCATAGCAGCAGGTCCCTCTGTTTTAATAAATAGAAATTTTGTAAGAATTTTTGGAATCTTTCCTTCGTGACATAATGGTATAATTTGCAAAATATACTTTAGTTCAAAATATATCTGAACTTGGAAAATAAAAATTCTTACATTTTACAAACAGAACGTGACCTTAACCCATTTCATATGATACACCATTAATTAATACTTCTACACTATATATTATAATCATAGTTCACTTTAACTTGACTCTTTAAGGGAATTATTAGCTAGAATTTATTTCTGCATTTTGTTTATTTACAAGAGTATCCATACGATGCTTGTGTATTTAGGGCGCGATAGGATTTCCCTGAAACACAAGTTTAATTTATAAGTCATAGTTAATACTTTCAATTTATTAAATAAACTTGACACCTACCCATTCACGAGCCATCATTAAAATTGTCTTACGCTCCAACTTCGGTCCAAAGAATGGGTTCATTTGAGCCATGTAACAGCACAACCAGCTAAAACGTAACAAGTTAGCCTGTGAGATTCTTTATTCCTTATATCTTGTTCACCGTACTGTAGATACTTACAATGACCAACAAGTAAATGCTGTTAATATCAATATCAATTGTAGGATTCTGAAATGAAGAGAGAAAAACTATACTCAAACATAAAACACTTTCAAATTACTGCTGTAGTTTTGCATTCAGAGAAAAACACCTTTGAACGTCCCAATTTCTATTTCTGCTTTTAAAAATGACATCAAGTATTAACTTGAAGCATTAATATGATCGAAGAACCTTCTAGGTACGAGAATTTTGAGTAATTAATAGGTTTTCAAAATATTCCAAAATTTTGACTGATAAAGTGGGATGGGCCTAAAGTATTAAAATGATATACTCACCCGCGATTTGGACCCTTGGGAACGAAAAATGGCAGAACAATGCCCACTACACCCCACAAGATTGTAAAGACGAGCACAGCCACCACAGAAGCTCCCATTTTTAAAAATTTTCTACTATCAGAGAAACGTCTGCAAAAATTGTCTTCCCAACTGAACTCCTACTATGAGAGTGTCACATGAGCTCGACTAGTTTCGAGATATATCGCAATATCGAACTGTCGATATATAAAAAAGTAATGACTACGTTTACACGGCTGTTTTAAACCGGGCTAGTTAATATTGATCTGATGGAATTGACCAATCCAAAATATTCCTTACAAGTACAAATGTCTATTATTTGTCTATTCCTTGAAATCAGTGTTAACTAAACCCGTTTAATAAGACCGTCGTATAAACGAGATCATGAAGCCAATAAAATGTCTGGCATAATTGAGAGCGAATTTCAAATTGTTATAATTACATGCAAAAAACACGTATTTTAATTTTGGCAAAGGTTTAATTAATTGCTCAAATGAAACAAAATGCGTACAACACTATTGGTAGAAAAATACATGAAATCGTACTAAATATTAGAATTTATCTATTTCCTATTTGCGAATGAGTACTTGGCTGTTTAGAAATGCGCCGTATACACTCTGTAATCTTTCGTATCTAATCACTATCACTTAAATATTTTATTATTAAGATTCGATATTGAAGTAAGATTCAACTACTCCGAAAATACATCACTGGTTATTGCCAAACGATTACCTTGCTGATTGGAGGAAATCTTTAAATTAACTGTATAGCGGGAGTGCAGTAGAATCTTGGTTCAATCTCGAGTCGAACATTTTACAGTTTCTCGGTTCTTTTTTTTTCGTGAATAAACTTTTTGATTTCTTTATATAAAAATAGACGTGTGTATAAATCTATGTCAACGTTAATCGTAATGAAAGATTTCATTATGAAATTCTCATAAATTCATTAATTGGACGGATTATTAGTTAATGCTGCGTCACTCATTGCTCCTTCTAAAAATCAAGGAAAAATTATTCTCCGTGAATTTTTCGCTGCAATCTCAATTTTTCTATCGAGTCTCTGTATGTCTTCGACTTTAACAGATGCGTCAATGGCCGAAGGAGCATCTCCACCACCAACTCCTGAACACTCTCCAATCGTATCCATACTCTGGCACAAATTACCCAAATAAATACCAGAAGCTACTTTAATATTCTCCGAGTGTTCCTTAAAACTGTCTGGAGAATTTTTCATTGTTGGCTTCGCAGAGACAGGCGATTTTCCTAGACTCGAATTAAGCGTGTCCGAGAGAGACGTCACTTTATCCAAAATGCCTAAAACAATTGAATCAAAAAATAATTTGGAAATATATCTTTGAATGGAAAAATTATTTCTACGTATTCTTACTCGTTAAATCGATACTCTCAACCGACAAGTCTAAATTGTCTTGAGAGATGAAACTATCCCTGCTAAAGAGATGCTGTCTGATGCTCGATAAATTTCTCATCTTCAATTCATTTCTCATTGACGTATCTTCTGAATTCTCTGCTTTTCTTGGTGTCTTGTACATGACGGATCTTTCTGTACGCATAGTACGTCCTCGCTTTATATATGGAATAAGACAAGACAAATTGGACGGAGCTCTTGGTAGACTATTTGCTGGTTGTATAGACAATGGCGGCTTGTAGCTTTTCACTATAAGATATTAATTAAAAATAATTGATTTAGATAAGTACAAACTATATGGATTAATGTCTATGTGTTTACCCGTGTACGGAGTTCTTATGTATGTTAAAGAATTCTCATCTCGTGGAAGTCCAAAAATGCTAGATGGAAAACTCAGTCTAGATTCTAAAAAAGGTTTCTGTTAGCATCTTTTACATCTTATACTGTTGTTTTATTTTATCTTAATTAAATATTAAACTTACCATTAAGTGTGTCGCCCTGTCCCATGCCGGCTTTACCATAACTACTGTTCGTAAGTATGGAATTATTCATTGTAGTAATCAACGCTGGCTGTAATCTTTTGACGACATTTAAAATTAGTTCACATCGTTTTATCACACGAAGTTGCTGAGGATCTGTGGCATTTTCTACCAAAAGAGTCTTTGATGCTGCATCGGCCTCGAAAATTGCTAGGATCCAATGAAATTAATTTTTATCTACTTATCTTGTTATTTGTTATTTTCTAGCGTAAACTTTATGTCCACTTTAATTGCTTACCAGCTTTGAGTTCCTGAATCATCATAGTGGTCTGCCTCTCTATATTATCTCGACCGATATCATTGACAGTCGCTGTCAATTGACTAGATAATGAAACTGCTCTTTGTACAATTCCATGTACCTGAGCTTGTGTCACACGTTCTCTATTGTCCAAACAATCTGACATGACAGATACACGCTCTTGCAAATCATCTAAAACTACCTAGACAGTAAATTAGAGGAATTAAACTGTTATCAAACATTGAGCACTTGTACATATTGCTGAAATACAGACCTGACAATATGCAGCTGAGTCAATAATAAGATCGACAACATTATGCAGTTTATTTATCTCTAACTGCCACTGTGCGGTCAACAATTTTACAGAAGCCTGCATTTCCTTATTATCCGGATGCAAATAAAAGGAAGTGATGGCTGGTACCAGTTCTGTTTCCAAGGATTCAAGACTGGCCAGGCAATTTCGAATTTTGTTAACTCCTATACACGTTCAAAATTGGATTCAGTATTTTTATATACGTATGTATCATTAGATAAGAATAATCTACTCACTATTGATATCCTTACAGCAAGCAATGGCGAACATGCCTATTTGCATGGCTTTGTCAGTAACTTGATCAAATTCCTCTACAGCAGAACTCAAATCATTTTTTGACCTTTTCTTAGCAGTCAATAAATTTCCACAGGTTTTTACAAGCTTTCTTAGTGCACCGAATGGATCACTAAATACTTCCATGACGAGAGTCAAAACAGAAATATTCACTTTACGTTCAAGACGGTATAAAGCGTCGTTGAGGGTATTCATGAAAAGATTATTCAATGTGGGGTCAGGTTTTTCAGATAGCAATTGAGTTTTCAAATTTTCATATTCCGACATTATTGATTGACTTGTTGCTGTGATTGCATTGAAATTGCACAATTGACATACTTGGGCAATGGCCATTGCATGGGAAAATACATCTTCTATTCCAAGCCACAAATCAGCACATTCTGTGATCAAATCCTCCTGCGATTTTCCAGGCATACCAGATATTATATCCAGTACCAAATCCATTCTGAATGAAATTAAATTTTTAATCAATTTTTTAGCTTACTGTTATCTAATAATTTTATTTCTCACCATAGTACCTGTATACAAAGTGATTTTCCTTTTCAAAATTTTCATCCTCCTCTGTTGGATTTTCACAGTCCAATACTTCTATTATCATCTTGAAACACCAACATAATCTTTCACATATGTACTTCTTACAAGTCTGTAATTAAAAGAAATTATGTAATTTATACGCATAATACTCTCAAAGGATTTATAATAAATAATTGGAAAATATCAATGAGCAGAGTAAGGATGTTCAAAGTATTATCGTACATAATGAAATTCATCAAAAAGAATAGATTACATACATATATCGGTGCATTAAGGTGATGCTGCTCTTGAATGACATGTACAAGCATTCCAAAACTAACACAGAGCTGACATGAATACAGGCCAATTTTTTCTGACAATAATTTTGATACCAAGTTCTTTCTGTAACGCTGCACTGGTTCAAAGACTTCCATTATGAAAACACCAATTTCCTAAAACAACAATTATTATTAACAATCTAGTAAAACCTTATTATTATTATTACTACCTTAATATTTTGAAGATCCTCAATCTCATTTACAGCACCCATTTCTTTGACATAATCCCAACAGTCCTGGAGACTCTGTTTCAAAGGGAGACATTCCAACTTTTCCAAAGTTTTTAGGCAAGATAAGAATTTCTTAAAGAGTGCAGTAGTCACGTCTTCACCATTCTGACAATGGATACTCTGTACCTATTACAAAAAGTTTTACAAGTTACAAGGAATAAAGGCATAATTAAACAAACAACAAATATAATCGTGTCTTACCAAATCATTCACATTACTTATAGAACAGAATTGCTCGATAATTCCTGTTATTTTAGATTTCAATTCTTGATAATCCGTAGCATCCTCTTTCGATAAATTTTCAAATTTATCTGCAAGACTTTGGAGTTGTTCGACAAACAAAGATTTCACCAACACAACATCAGGTGGTTTAGCACTTTCATTCGCCAGTAGTTGCCGCAATTTGTTTATCTATGAAGTACACAAAATTTCATTAACAAATTTTAACAACGTAAAAATACAATTCTTACCATCCCCAAATTAGTGACATAAACTTCCAAAATTTAAATTACCTGAACTTCGATGGGTTCCAAAACTTTTTGCATACTTCTCGTCTTTAACGACATTCTTCCAAATATCAAGAAATTGCAGTATTTCTCCAAAAAGATCCTCAATTATGATTTCTGTATTTAAAGTGACCGTTTGTAAACAAAATGAGCCTCGCAACCAGATAACACAAGCTAACTAATAATCTGTATATGTATAACAATACGAATGATAATAGATAATACCAAGAAGCCAACAAGATAATCTCATAAGATACAAATACAGTGCTGCCAATAGACGCAAAACTGCTACCATAAATGCATCTGTCATATTGATATTTTTTTTTCAAAATATTCATCCAGTTATATAATCCACAAGCTTAACGTCGTTTTCACGAAATTTAAAATTCATCTCAATTATGTTTTTTATTCATATCGCTGCCCCAAAATATTTGGTATCTAGGAAAATTGTAACCAATATTTGCTAACATTGCGTAATAAATAGTTCACAATAAAGATGTCGCTGATCGCATACTAAGATGTTCGATGTAACAAATGTGCTGCATATTCGAACTGTGATACAGTAGTACACGAGGTTATAAGACACTGAAAACTGGAGCAACAAAATTTATGAAAAGCAAGCTGGTGAGTTAACATTATTATAAACAATTTTTACCTTAACAACAATTATAATAACTTTATACAAGTAGTTAGACATACTTGATAAGCGGGCATTTTGCCAGAAATTTACTCCGGCCGGGTTCTTCACGATCTTTGCTCATTTTTATTATACTCCCACGTCTCTTTGTTTTCTTCGTGACTGTTTAAACATATTCTTTATGATAAAGCAAATTATTGTACGTTTATGCCTTATAATGCAAAGCATGCGCTTTCTTTGTCGTCGTAAATTATTCAATACTGTATTATGTAATTTTTTAATTCAATTCCTGGAGTGTGGGGGCTTGCCTATGTTTTGAAACAGTAATCAAGGATTAATTTATTAATGAGAAGATAAAGCATGTCATCTTGTCAGTTTTGGTTTTAGATTTTCCAATAATTTATTTCTGGCTCTTATTTTTTTGTATTTGTTACTATTACTATATCAGCAAACATATCATTAGAAAGTATAAGAAGATATTGTTTTTTTGTTATACTGTATTATAAGAATGGGATATTTGGCATTATATAATATGGTGGTCACTGATACATTATTTTCTATTTAGATATTCATATAACATATTTTAAACTGATAAGAAAATATTTGTTCTTGGATACCTTATATTTACGTTACTCCAAAGTGTTAATTTATATCTGTCAGGTAAGATGGCATTGAAGAAAACATTCAACCCTTTGAATTAGAGTAATTTGTCTTCAAAATAATTTTTTAGTTCAGGAACAATTTGTTGAAATTATAACTGTATGCAGAGATAGGGTACAAAGGGTACTTATAAAAATAAACTTATTTGCTTGAAGTGTTCTAAATATACTATGCAATAGATAGTTCTGAGATATGTCATACAGGTCAAAGATTATTTCCAAAATTGTCATGAATATAATAAGATGTGTTTCTTCGTATCAAGTGATAATACAACTGTCATTGTAAATTTGACCTATAGAGGCTAAATTCGCAGGTAATACTAATTGGGCTTTGGTTAATTAATTAATTCATAATAAAAGATCAGAAACTTTAAACGTGATTTTCAATTTAATTTTTTTGTTCACTGCAGTAAGTTTATCATATCAAACAGAATGCAGCTTCTTTTTCTGGGACATTGAAGCTCGTTAAGATATTAAATAAAAAGTTTTAAGATCATCTCTACTGTAGTTGGAAAATATCCAAGTCCCAAATACTTCTCTACTAACAGTTTGTAAAGGAGGTCACTCACAAAGACTTGTTTAAATATCTTTTTATTTTTACGATAGGTACTTCTTCTATCAGTAAAAAATACCGTTTATGCTTCTGATTATATGATGTGTAAAGAGAAAAGCGCACGTGTTTTGAGACATAAAAACGCAATGAAGAGCTACGTGACTCAAAGCACGTGTCTGCCGACTTGTGATCATGCACGTGTATTTATTTTTCACACCCACTTCAATGTTCCATTCAAAAGGCGCAGCCGCATGGTAAACAAAATGTGATCTTTTCATTAGCTATCGAATTCCCCCTCCAATTGAGTTCATTGATTAATATTAACAAGGTTTTATAGTATCTAAATAAATAGTAGACTTAACAACAAGTTCGTGGTGCAATGTTATGAAACGCGAGAGAAATTGATGATAAATATTAATAAACGAGAAAATAAAGTTTTATTATAGGTTGTACTAAGATTTTTCACAACATGAAATATTGGTTATTATTAGTCTAAGAACATCATCTTCGACGAAATGTGTGAATCATTGAGTGATCTGCGGTTATAAATGTTCTCAATTTTTTTCTTCTGGCAGATTAAGACTCTGGATATCAATAAGAAAGCTGCACAAGAATAAACAGTTACTCTGGATATTTATGAAAATGGTTTACAATCAGAAGTCAAGCTGGCGTTAAATACAAATTGTCTTTCGGAGCCTCACAAGTTTATGAATAATTGAACTGAAGAAAGGATTAATCAGCTTCAACCCTCTTGTACAATGGTCAAGTATTACGAGAACAGCACTGTCTTCCAGTTTAGTTGGGATCAGGTGGCACGAGGTTTCTGGCATCGCTACCCAAATCCTCATAGGTAAAATAACAAGATATAAAAGTATATTTAAAATATTAAGGTACCAAACAGAACTTGTATACAGCTCACATGTACTTTCGGAAGACACAATATCCAGAGAAGTTAAAGATGGCAAACTCTACTCGAAAAGACTACTTACCAAGACTAATCGAGTACCCAAATGGGGCGAAAGGTTTGTCAGTAAGAACATTGTCAAGATCGTTGAAGAAAGTGTTGTTGATCCTAAGGAAAAGACCTTCACAACTTACACCAGGAATCTAGGATACACAAAAGTCATGGTAAACATTAATGCGAGCACTTTGAAAGCAAATAACAATAGAAACTAATTATTTATATCGATTAACAAAAATTCTTCCTTTTAAAGAGTGTCATCGAAAAGGTAGTTTATAGAGTGTCCGAAGAAAATCCCAAATGGACTGTGGCAGTGAGATCTGCCTGGATCGACAGTCATGTATTTGGTTTCAGCCGTGCCATACAGGCATTTGGTCTGGATAGGTTTAAAAAGAATTGCTCCAAGATGTCTGGCGGTTTTAATTACGTCCTGGCACACATGTTTCCGACCACTGCACAATACATGAATCCTAACTTATCACAAATGGGTTTTGCTGACAGAGTAAGTATACCTTCAGGAATTAAATACTCTTTTAAAAGAACCTTTCTTAATATTTACAAAAAAATCTACCACTTTATCACTAAGATGGGTGAACCATCAATGACTAAGTTAAGTCATGCCGCAGAGGATCTTCAACACAGTTTCCACGACAAAGCAGAAAAAATGAAAGATGCTGCTAAAAAGGCAACTGACCTCGCCAAGAAAAACGCTGGACCTGTGTACGTAGCCTGTCAGCCCAATCAATCGTAAAAAGACAATACTATAACTACGCCATTATATCTCCGTACTGAAACATGTACGAAAAAATCCTATTATTAAATGCTTTCCTCCTATTCGGTTGGATTCCTGATGAGCATTATAATAGAGAGTGGTCGAATACTTCAGACTCTAGACTCTGTTCAGTTTTCTACTTTGCCCATAAGGAAATATAATTTCGATAAAGAATATCTTGGGCTTAAGGTATAAAACGAAAAAGAAATAGTCATTCCTTATAACTGCCAGTCGCTTAGATCATTTCAGAATCATCGTTTCCACTGCGGTTGGACATGATTCTTATTCTTTGAGTATTACCGCATTTTTCTCACTCTTATCTCGAGTTTCGGATCGATAACATACTGTTTAGTAAAAGTTACCTAATATTTATTTGTCAGCTAGTTAATTACTTGCTTATTACTACATATTGATCCTAAATTAAATAATATAATAGATTGGAGAAAAAATGTACCACTCCATTTGCCTATTGATTTTGCATGTCTATTTCTAATGAAAACCATGTTGTCTTCTTTTTTCTTAGTCTTGTATTACCTTCCGTGAGGTAAATACCCTTTTATATATTATCATGTTTTCACCATATCTCAGGTGCGTTTGCATTTTCCCATAATTTTTTCCGCATCGAATCGCTGACTCGGGATCTGCAATCAAGACTTGGCGCATTAAGGGAAGACCCGTTAATTATTTTAATTTCATTTTTGAAACTAAAAAAAATTTCAATTTGCAAATGATTCTGTTCCTCGTATTTTTGGGTTCAAACCCTAGCTCATGTGGATCACGAAGCAATCTTATTCAATATTATTCGTGTATCCATGTACTATTAAACTTTTATTTTTTTATAGACATACTAGTAGCACTACTGAGATGATCGAAATTCACTGAATCACTATTGATCTTTAATAGAGATAGTTTAGCACACAATCGTTGTCCGCGACTATCGCGCATTGCGAAGTTAACTTTTCTAATATTATGCAATCCATTGATAAGATATATAGCAACCTATCACAACTTCTTGCAGTACAACCGAATCGCGGGTTAAATGACCAACAATAAAAATTTGATGTACCTACTGTCAGAAAGTAGTTCGAATTATAAATTCATGACATGTGAACAATCTTTTATTAGCCGTTATCGCATAATCGGTTGGAAAGAAAGTGCAAGAGAGAATGCAATTCACCTGTTATGTACGTTTGTAAATTACTATATATTATATATTTGTTTAGTTAATTACTCGTAAATAATGTGTAAGATAAATTACATTTGTATATGAAAGATATAGGCGCATACAAAGGCGCCTCATAGTATATATTATTATGAAAAAGTAATGAAACTACATGAGTCATAAAATGCCCCAAAAAAATCTATTAACTGAATATATCATTTAACCTTCTTTGTATTCCATAAGAATTCAAAATTTCTTTCCGCTAATTCGTATTGGGATAGACGACGCTAATAAGATGCGTTATTTTAATTGTCAAATTGTAAAAAAAAATCAAGTCAAAGCCAAGAAGCTCCATTGTTTATTCAAGATAATACAAAGCCTATCATGTAAAAGCGTAACGATGCCTACATACTAATTGTTACAATAGCGAAATTAATAATAATTAAGCACAAGAAAGTACTCAAATGTCCCTATGGACAAGATATTCAATATCAGTCAGAGATGCGAACATTGGTGAAATTGTAATAAATGGACACTGTACAAAATATAAGGCACTTGGAATTTTCCTGCGAGGATCCTAGTCACAAAATAAAAAATGTTATCCTCTATGCTCTTCACCAGTTGAAGAATTTGTCGATGCAATTTGTTTGCTGACCACACCAACGAGTTTGACGTGTCTCTTGTGGACAAGGAGTACCGCCTCTTTTGTTAAGAGTCAGGATACTCCTGGTCCTGCTTTCAAAGCCTACACCACAGGAGGCACTGCAGGTTGACCATTCAGACCATTCACTCAAGAGACAATCCACTGATCTTCCTGATAAGAAAACAAATTAATTAAAAACCTTAAAATACACGAATATCAAAATATTCATTGAAACAGATAAATAAATTATTGTAGAAATTATTTAAGTGAACTTATATCATATAGTGCATACCATAGTGTTTACGTGTGACTTTAGAACGTGAAGAAAAATTCATCGCGGACTCTTGAAGTAATAAAATTAAAAAATTCCGAAATAGCTCTCTCGTCTGTTCATACAAAAGTTTTGTTAGTTTAATTCTTGATAATAAAGAACAAGTTACTCCACGTGGCACTGTTGAATTTTTCATAGGTTTGGAGAACATGAGATATGGCTGTTAGGATAATATTTGAGAAAGAATGTCGTAAAGATTCGTCATGGTGCTGAGATTAGATCTATTACGTACAAAGAAGATTAATTCACTTTGTAGTTTTGTGAATCTTGTGTGAGTAATTGGGTATACTGTTTACTAAAAAAAAATATGTATACCAATTGTTAAACTCACTCGCAGCTTTCTTGTAGATACGTCTAGCATGTAATCTCTTGTGCAGCGTACGACTTGTTGAATCTGGCAATGGTACCACAACTGTACTAATTTTGCTAAACTTAGATTTTTTATGTTTTGGGCCAAAACAAAGTCGCTTATTATTTGCCCTGTATACACGTTCCTGAAATTTGTACATCAATTTTGATGAATTTTCTTCATTCTTTATACGTTAACTCGGAATTCTTGATATCTAAATGAACTTTTTCTACCTTAATAAAGTGGAAGGTCACCAATGGTGGCAATTCATTCAGATATGGATAATAAAAACTGTTAGCTGGATGAGATGGATTTTTTGATGTTATCATACTAATGGGCGATTGTGGTTCACTTGCCCAATTAGGTGCTGTAAAAGTAAAACCCTCGTCGGTACCAGCATCAATAGGTCCTGCCTGAAATTTATATTTTCATAAAAATAATAACTATAGTACTACTATTTATTGTTACGACTCTTTCTTTAAAACCTTCATGTAATAAAAAAAAAAAAAATAATTCACAACTAACTTCAAGAAGTCATATTCTGCAGTTTAGTCGTTAAAATATTTTACCTCAATGGTCAAATTATTCAGCCAGTAACCATTCATACAAAGTTCTATGCTGTCCAGACCCACAAACCAGTCTGGAGACGGTACTATTTTTGAGATGACCGAGACCTTGAAGATGAAAAAAGATGAAATGAAATTTAAACAAAAATTATCCTTATACAATTTAACCGTAATCTTAACACAAGATAAATACGTACTTTGGTGTGTTTAGCATCGGAATAAAAAATAGTTTCAGTCATCCCGACGCCTTGCAGAATTCTTCCAGCAGCGAATACATCTCTGACACCTTTACGTTGTTCCAAAATTTCACCAGAGCCTTTTTCCGCTATAAGACGTACTTCCGGCGTAGCCTCGAGTCCTTCGCGCCACAGTATATAAGAAGAATTATGCACTATTCCTGGAAAGTACATAATAATATAACGTACCAGACAAAAATATATATTAGTATATTACGATACGAGTGCGTTAAAACTTTTTCCGAGTGCTGCAATCAGTCAAATTGAGAAATAGTTTTTTCACCGAGTATTGTACAAAGATTTAGTTAATTGTACAAAAAGATGCGAAAATGGGGATTTTACGCACTTGAAGTGTGCGTAAAACCTTCATTTTCGCATCGAGTTAAATAAAAGTAAATTATGTTTAAGAATTTCAAAATGGAGTTGCATAAACGTCTTAAAATAACAGACGCTTAAAAGCATTAACCAATCATAACGATCAAGCAACCGCTTATAACACAGAGTGAAATAATAACAAGAGGTCATAAATTATTGAAAAGACCATTCCCGACGCCCGGCGTCGGTCTAATACAATACTGAATTTCATAGAACCACAACACGATTTATGTACGTGCAGCCCACAATAATGGCGTCTCTGTCCGAGATTTCGACGCCAGACCGTGACAGGTAATGTTTAAAAAAAAAAAAAAGCAAACATGAAATATCAATTCAATAAGACTCTACAAAGATTTAAAATAGCCATTCCTTTCACTATAATACTATTTCCATTAATTACTTTCTTATTCATCGTTACTGTCATTTCTAAGTTTAAGGTCATAACCTTCTCTCTTCTCCATCCACCAAATCTTCCGCCTTAAAACGCTTCCGCAATCATTAAAGTTCATCATCCATCATTCGTATTCTTCCAATCATCAAGCCCATCGACTGCCACCTCAAATTCATCATCGTATCATAAGCCATCTGCGTGTTAACTACCTTAAATCGACCATGAAATTCTTTCCATTGTATTTTGTCTGCACGCCGCCTCCTTGAGATTCTTAGCAACGGGTCGCGAATCGCTCATTAATATCATTCAGCTTATAAGACATTGACATTGCTAGCACAAATAGTTTATGTATACACATACACTCTCGATAAATAAAATAGTACCCAGTTACATAACTGATTTCTGTGTCAACAATAAGCTGACCCTATGATAATGGAAAATAACTTTGCAATGCTTTTCACATTACTCATCCAGATTATGCCTTATTGTTTTCAGCAATTCTTTTTTAGCAACACTTTTAATCATAAAACTTGTTTTTCAATAAAATCCTTATTCCTTAAATCAGTGCCAATTCATTGCTCATTGTGTAACTAAAATAGTTGATCAATTATATGCCGTTCAGTATTATACATATATGTATATGAGTGTTACGATATATCAGTGCACTCGAATGAGCAGGAGCTACGAGTACTTCGTAGTGAGTCATACGTGCTCTTGATTGTTTTAACGACAGGCGATTTCCCTTGGGCGGTAATGACGAAAAAGAGAAGAAAAAAGGAGTCACAGATATACGTGTTAACTTACTGAGACGAGAGAGTAAAAAGAGAGTTATATATATTTATGACATGTCTCAAATCACTCACTGTCATTCGTCATTGGTCACTCGATTAATCTTAATCACTTTTAACACGCTGGAGCATAAGTTGGTTTTTCAATTAATATATTAGATTAATAAAAAGATACAGGACTCCCTACGATTGACCCTAGTTTATTAATTAATTTTTATAACTGGGTCATTCGATTATTACGATATTGGTATGGTCAAATTAGAGTAAAGTCATTCGTTGAATGTATTAATTTGATAGCAGGGATTTACCGTGTAAACGAGAAAACTGCGCCGGTGGTCTGGAGGTTGGATATTGCTTTGGAAAACTGTTTTTGTACCAATGACTGTCCATCTTTATCCTGTAGACAGCCAGTGTATCAGGACTGCAGATGTCTCGATTACTTTTCGCTAGGGTGACGACGATGTTGCCAAGGAGGCACAGGACACCGAATACGAGATTAGAGGATCCCATATTTCGTAGTTATATTGATGTTGAGTTATTGAAATAAATACAAGTAACAATTTGTCTTTCCAGTGATGCAGAATCGCCGACGAATTCCTTTATTCAAATATTAGCACCGTTATTCCATAGGAATCCCATAACTTGCATCATTGACATAAGACACTGTTCGGAGGTTAAAAAATGATTTGCCATCCAATGTTTTCCCCGCGCAAAACACTAAGCTTGTCTGTTTCTATCGAAAAAGCAGATCGACAATATTCTCAGAGATAAATGATCTGGTTGGTAAAAAAAGAAAGGAACAGAAAATCCGCGACAAGACACTGGCACCGGGAAGTCTGCTCGCTCGGTGAGAACTCGCCAAACTGCTTTGCCGCTTAATGCGTGGGCCATTATTTATACCTAGACTGTGCAGCCGGGCGCCGCATCTTGCAGGCTATTTTAATCAGGTAAATATTCCAGGATTTATGGTAGCAGAAGTACAGGCACTAGGATAGAAGTAACTGTTTATGTACGTGATTACTTAATTAGAGTGCAAGAGTTCAAATGAAGATGGTGGAAATTATTACTTACTTGTACAGCGCCAAGTTGGCTGTACTGTTTACCATCATTCAAATTCTGGCTGATCTCGTTTCTCGTGTCTCTTATTTCTTTTTTATAACTGTATATAGCGTCGGTGCCGTTCAATGGAAACCAATCAATGAGTTTCTGCTGAGTATTGAGGAAGGGAATGTACCTGAGGTAGTTTCCAATAGATGTGGCACGTGCCGATGAAGGCGCTTTAAGGTGAACGCGCTCAAGGCGAAATTTGACCGCGTCTATAAAGCAACGACGGTTCCTGCTGACTTTCCTTCTGCAAAATGTTAGGTCCTTATATGGATCAGAATATAGAGATTCTGGATATTGATAGGGAACACAGCATTCTATAGGCCCAAAAATGAGGTCTTCTTTTTTGAGGTTAATGAGGATAAACTTAAATATAAAAAGATAATTGTTAGGAATATTACACAGATAATTTTAACAAAACGAAAAATAATTAATAAAATTTAAAATTTATATGAACTTTATCGAAATCTTTGCTACTTATTCGTTTATTAATAGTCGTTTTATCTTGTTTATCGATTCTCTTTTTCTTCTTTTATTTCACAGAATCCGTCCCACCTCCCGCTCTCGACCAGTGCTTCAATTCAAGCCTTGAACTAATTCCTACGAGTCGAGGAGAGTTTAACAATAAGAGTACGTGGGCGTGACGATTATCAAACATGTGAAATTTGTCATTGTCGTTAATCAAGGAACATCGCACGTACATCCATCAGAATATAATTAAGCAAATAGAAATGCCACGTAATTCCAAACGACTCAATCCAGAATTAACGATAAGTAGTTGGATAAAAATTAAATATATCCAAAAGATTTCCCGCACCTCATAAGTCAGTAGCCGCTGGAAACTACGATTTGGCGGTAAATATTTAAAGTTGAAAGATGCGCAACGACGTCGTACGCAGCTAATGGAATTGCAACGGATTGCTCGACGGAGCATGGAACGTTGACAAATGGTGTATGACACGATAGCGATTAATTGAAGAGGAAATTATGCGCAGCAAAATCAGAGATTCAGTCCAGTGACCATTGGTAGTGGAGATGATCATTCGTTTCGAGATGATAAATTAATGACGGCACGTGTCAACCCCAATGAACTGCGTTAATTATTCATCGACGCGCCACAATCAGCCACACGCATTTCTGGTGAACCCAATAGCAGACTTGAGGGGTATATGAGATGCTCCAACTCAATGCTTTTCAAACGCAGAACAAAATGGAACAAAAAAGGAAGTGAACTGTCACATTCGTAGCCACCCGATACGTAACTAGCCAAAACTTTGCAAAGCTATTATTAAATCGACATATAGATGAAATAAAAAGTAAGTCGTACCATCAAAAATACCAGAGCTTGTGTTGTACGACGTCTTTCAATAGACAATCAGTTAAAGCTCCTGATAAATAATGACTGGTCAGCTGCGGCCTGACCAGTGTTATTTTTTTCCTAACTTTTCATCAGTTTCCTCGTGACAATATATTACACTCTTATTTTTAGGTACTTTCCACACGATCGATCTGTCACGAATAAACTGGGCCGCCGTTAGCGTGGCTTCCATAATCCACCCCATATTAAAGCAGCTTTTCCAATTATACTGTAAGTCCATTACATACACAACTTTACACATGCATAACAAGTTACCTGTGACAAGCGACTTCACCCTCAAGTTTTGGAAAGCTTTTTTTCTCAATTTCATAGAACTAACGCTAGATGGCAGCACTATAACTCTGCAAACTTACTGCCAGTTCTACAAATCCACTTGCGCTTCAACAAAAACTTGATCAACTGCAACTTAAGCTGAAGCTGCTGTTCATCAATAATAATTAACACCATCTTGCCTAAAAAAATTGAATATTTTTTAACATACAAAATTTTAAAAAGCGAACTCAGACAAGATACCAGGATTTAATTTCATTTATTGATCAATCCATCGTGTTTTTTTTTCGTAGTCCTTCGATTATCACTTAAACTGTCAGTGGGCTACCCTCGCTTATCACTTGCAGGGCAGTGGTCGCGTAAAACTTATTACATATACTCAAAAATGTCTTACGGAGCGATTCAACCTTCTTTTTTAAGACGAATTAAGCAAGAAAAAAAAAAAGGAAAATGTAGAAAGTTCAAAGCCAAAGTACGAAAAGGTCGAAGGGCTCGCAAGACATTCGCCACATATATTATATCCTATTCGCATAGGGGCAGTGATCCGGAAGAAAAATAAAGACCTACCTAGAAGCGACATTTAAGTAGGGCGAATAATACTTCCGGTTGTTAATTAAGAGTTCCACGCCGACGTCACATCCTGTACAAATAAGAAGAGACGTCATTGCATACCGCACGCATCCTTTGCAACGTGTGCACAACATTGATTTGCAGAATGACAATGATGTTGAAGATGAATAATAATAAACGTCAACAACCATTCGCCATTATCAATTGTTATTTAATTATATTGATAGTACGCTATCTCTGTATATAATGTATCATCATATATATATATATATGTATATCTGTGAAGACCGCGTTCAAAGTCGTTGTTCAATGGCAAGCGGCTAGTTTGGGTACAGCTCCTTATTTTATTTCGTTTAGAATCCCAAGAGGCGAATAGGGACGATTTAATTTTTGCGCTAACTACTAATCAAGTTTCTCGTCCACCATTGCGATAGGAACAAACGAGGACAACAAAAATTATTAGAAACACCGTCCAACCCTAATTTTGAGATCACGCGCTTTCCTCTCTTCCTCATTCTCCCTTTATCTTTTCTTCTGTTAACTTCTTGTAACGTCACGAGTAGACTGCATGTTCTCTACTTTTTAGGCTATTACAATAAATCTCTATGCATTAGCTCTGCGCTTCGTCGAGGTGCATCTATTATCGATTGCCAACAAAACAAATAATATATATTCGTCACAATCAGCTCTCCCACCAAAAAAAAAAAACAAAAAAAAAACGGAGTTTTCGCATAGACGCCCGTTGTGTCTTTATATATTTTACTTATTCAGGTAAAAAATATTACTTCTCTAAGCACATGCAATCACCTCGACTCAGCCAAGCACAGTCAATACGCAGTTCTATCCATTAATTATATATTTATAGATACATGTATATATATATATATATATATATATATATATATATATATATATATATATATGTGTATGTATATAACGTCAGTGTTTTTTATTGTACAAAAAGCTTACAAATTAGAACGCGTATATATATATATATATATATATATATATATATATATATACACACATATATAATGAATGTCTGTGTATATAGTATATGCATTTTTATATAGAACGTTACTTATCTACGTACGACGGTTTTGCAGTTAAATATAAAGAGAGGTGCCGAAACTAATAATGACAATAATAAGAAACAAAAAAATGGAATGAAACATGAAATAACGAAGTTAACGACAATTTGTACAGACGGACTGTAGGATTTGTTCATTGGGCCTCTTATTCCTTCTCGTTTACTTTCAAAATATAAATTCAAGTACCCGAATGGCACTCGTGGATCTTCATATAGTTTACCTACTCAAAAGATATTTTAAAAAATTACAAGAATGAGCTACAAATATACACGTAGGTTATCTCATTTTTGTCACGAATAGATAAATTTAAAAAAGCCAAAATGATTATTGAAAAAAAAAACCGAAAAGAAAAAACAATACAAAGCAAAGAAAAAGATTTAGGATCTCGTGTATAAGGGGAAACATAAAAATGAATTGAAGACAACAAAAATAATAAAAAATACAAATGAGGGAGAAGACAGAAGAAAATAAGAGATCAATCATCTCCCTAGTGTCACTTCCATCAATTTGTTTCGGCCCTCCCCCCCGCTAAAAGATTATTATCGTGATCGAAAAAGCGAGCGTGTCCACTTTATGTCCACGCGAGGACATGAAAATGCGTATTTATTATTAATTGCGTAACGAGTGACCATAAATAATATATTTATACGTTCGTGTCGTGCACTACAATATAATTAAGATATATCATGGACCAGTGAAGGAAAAATCGCTCGCTCTTTGGGTCACTTTCACTGTTTTTTTTTTCTTTTTGTATTTTTTTTTTCAAAATTCTTTCTAGTACTAATTCGCCCACTTAATCACTATTATTATAATTCTATATAATAAACTGCATCATACGCGCATCGATCCACATTCATTCATACAGCTTTTTCTCTTTGTTTATCATTAAACAACTTATTCGCTGACGGTTCAACTCTTACTTACTCGCTAGACAGACAGACAGTTACGCGCACTCAATTCACCCTATACGCAACGTCTCACTCGTAAGTAAGATTATTAAAATATTACATATAAATTAAATACGTCTTATTTAGCCATAAATGCCGTACCGTCAACCTCAACAACGTCATCTTACATCATCCAAATGCGAATGACGTTTTCACTGTGCATTATACTCTGCAGTTAATACGGCTCTCTCAAAGTGTCGTTATCGTGTATTATATTGGACATCGACTTCTATCGGTGTGCCGTTATTAATTTATATATATAAATATATAGATATATATGCTGTGTGTGTATGTATATATATATATTTATGTATTTATTTGTATAAAAATAGCCCGGGCAATCCGGTACGTGTTTACGAACGAGAAAACTGATTGTGTTAGACTCGAGGATCTCTTACGGAAAATTTAACACACGATTTATGACTCCTCGTCAAGTTAGCTGTACGTGTGAGATAATAATTTATTTCATCATTATTTCTGTCCTCGAGGCTGACACATTGATCGGATTTGTAAATCTCGTGCTGCCCGGGCCGGCGAGATAATTTTCTTTTTTTTTTTAAATTCAGTCGGATATGTCACAGGTTTATTACCTATGAGTTTCGCGTTACCCTAATTTATTTTTTCTTGTTTGTAAAAAAAAAAATATTAACAAAATAAACAATAATTCTTTATCTCGTCGTGACTTTACCCAGTAATAAACAAAAAATATCTATAACCTTCATCCTCATCGATACACATCTCTACAGGAGGGACAAGAATCCTTAAACGCTTCTTTGATTTGAAATTGTGTAACATGGAAAATGATGCTGGAATTTCTTTTGGTTCTAATTTTTTTAAAAAAAAACCTTGGGATTATTTAAGTGATTGTTTATGTCTTATTTTCTGCTGGAGGTTGAATCCGAACTTTCACGTGGTTCTGCAGAAATTTCATCATGGCCATATGGTATTTGGCTTTTTATCGAGCATACCGCGAATCTCTTTGCTTTGACGGTAGATAAGTGGGAGGGTTCACCAGATCACAATTCACAGTTCACCGTCAGATGTCACTGAGGGCATTGTGGTTGTGGCATCCTCGGCGTTTTCTTTTTAAGTACAATAATGTCGAAAGTTGCGTAAGTGAGGGAATTCGTAAGGTATAAGTCTTTTCTATTGTTGGACATCTTCTTCGTCGGCTCAACACCAACTTTCGCTCTCGCGCTCACCAACGCCGTCGCTATCCTCGTCACTTGGCTCCTCGCCGTACATATCCGCCAGCTTCCTGAACCGTGGACCAAAGTTCGACAGATAGTTGAACTTCAGATCGCCGTCGTCGGTGCCTAAGAATTTATGGAATTGCAAATTACATTGATATCGGTTATGATAATTCGAATATAACGTGAGTGACAAGTATGCAGATGAACTTACAGGAAGCCAAGGATGACAGAGAGCCGTCGGAGTTCCCTTCACCCTCGTAAGCGTAATGCCTGACGTCGTCGAATGGATTAGTGTCAGGATCCTTATCACAGCTTTCTTTTTTGCCGTCGAGGAATCCGCAGATGTCAGGAACCTCATCGGGAGCTGGATGTTCGAATAATAGAATTATAAATGCATTGTAGATACCATCGAGAATATTTTATAATATCATAGCATTTATTTACCTCTACCCTGGAGACCCACAGGAGCAATTTTTGAATCGAGAGGTGGTGCGTCGTACATCGCCCTGAGGACGTTCAAGTCGTACCCAGTATCAACCTCGCCACCACCCTCATCTTCGTAGTTGATTATGTTCTCCCGAATATCATCCATATCCTTGTAAAGATCATCTGTCTTCCTGCGATGGACCACCACAGCGAGCAGAAGAATCAGGAGGATGGCGACGCACACCAGGATGGCCACCAGGAAATTAGTATCAATGCCAAACGATACAGCTTTAGCCATTCCATGATCACAACCAGGATCTGCATTCTTTGATATTGTAGGCATCCCAAGATTGTACGTCTAAAAAATTGAATCAATAATGAATAGACAAGTCTTCATTTATCCATTAAACACATCAATTACAATTACTATTATCCGTAACTTACGTTTCCATTAATTGTCATATTACGTATACAGCCGACGAATCCTTTGTCAGTGGGTCTGTGATCCCAGCCTAAGTCACTTGCCATTTGAGCCAGATTCGTCCAAGTTCCCCCAACTTGTAAAGGACTGTTCACATTGAGGAATTCGTTGGGTCGTACGGGAGCCTTTAGACTGACGCATGCAGACATACCGCAATTGTCCACTTGCATCTCTATAATCTATTCAGAAGCAAAACAAGGATCAATAATTAATTATCGTTTAAGTTCTTCGAATAATTACAAAGAAAAGCAACGATAGACCACTTACATTTTTCGTCCAGAAAACGTCAATCCTATGATTTTTACCATCCATCATCCTGTTGTGCTTCTGATCCAGTCTTACAGTACCACTACCATAGTCCACGTACAAGACGGCATATCCGTCCTGAATTTCAAGAGCCATAAAATCTCGAATTCCCAGCTTAGGACTGTAGCTCATAGGACCAAAGTAAAAGACAAGACCATGGTCAACGTGCGGTGTAATTTCCAAGCCTGTAAACGTTAGTGAGTAATCAATAAGTATACAGTGAATAGCAATGTCAAAATAAATTATCTAAATAAATACTTACTCAAGTGCGAGTCGTCGCATGCCTGTCCAGGAGGTGGCATGACAGCCCAACCATCCCCATGGAAACCAATTCCCAATAATTCACAACGTGGTCCTTCCAATCCTGGAGGACATTCACACCTCTCGGTGAGAGGAGTACCGCCATTGAGACAAACAATTGGCTCGGCGACGTGACAGGTACATTGTGGATCAACAACCGCGTGCACGCCGACGAAGGAGCTGGTGTTTGTATAAACGGGAGACGGAATGCTAGTAGCGTTCAAGTAACTTCTACAAGAATTATTACAATGAACTTTCTCGAAGAGGCATTCATCGATATTGATAAGCATAATATCAGCGTTCATCTCCCGTTCGATTTCCTTAGAATGTTGAGCGGCAATCGTGTTCAATTTCTCCGGTGCATAGTAAGGGCTGCCGTGGGCCGAAAACCGGACGTCCAGGAGGCTGCGATTGTTGTGATGAGGTGAGTGCAAAACTGTGAAGACGTCCACGTTTTCCACTGAAGTGTTGAGCATTGTTGCCAGACGTTCCTGAAGAATTTCCTTCTTGCTGACCCCAGACGCATCGGGAGCGACGAACTGCTCTGCGGTCATACCGAAGAATCTGACAGATCCGGACTTCATAACGGCTTCCTCAGGGATCTCCTTGACTGTCACGTTCACGTAGGCGTTCACGTGGTGCTTTGGAACATTTGCACTCTCTTCAGTGACCTTGAACTTTAGGACGAATGTATCATTTGTTGTTCCTGCTAGTAATGTGATCATTCCGTTGTCCGGGTTCAGGCGGAAGCCCTCGTGAGGCTCAGTTGCCCAGCCAAAACGCTTGTCGGGCAGGTCCCAGTCATCCAAATCATTTACGTATACCCGTCCTGAGGAAGATGATTGTCAATATTGTTTCTACATAAGAATCCTGGACAGACAATTCTTTATATCATTTTCTACATACCTATCTCAGTATCTGGAGTCTCTCCCTTGTAATTATACACAAATATAGAGCTGGATCCTTCTTGCATGGCGTTGTCGTTCCTATCGCCAATTATGACAGTCAGAGTAGACGTTCCCGTCATTGGTGGTTTTCCACTGTCTGTTATGGATATAGGAATATCGTAGCTCTTCCTTTCTTCACGATCGAATACAACGACGGCGTCCAGGTAGGTATTTCTGATTTTAAATTTTGAGAGTATCTCTTCGCCAGCTGAATCATCTATTTTGTATTCGAATGGGGGACCATTCTCGTCGGAATCCCAATCTCTAGCTTTTAGTTCAGTTATCTGTCCTGGTGGCTCTCTCTCGTACCAGACGACCGGGTGCGGCATATCCAGGAATGGAGCGTTATCGTTTATGTCGATAAGGGTAATATTCACCGGAACCAACTTTCTCAAAGCAGTGGGAGCGTCGTCTTGGTCTAGGGCTGTGACAATTATCTAAAAAAAATTATAAAAAGATAATAGTACGTAACAAAGAAAAATACTTGATGATCAGTTTTTTTATTGTACTATTTAAAAAGCTCACCGTCCACATGGGGTAGCCAAAAGGTGGATCGTGATCGAGAGGCTTCTTCAGGGTCATACAACCAGTCTTATCAATGCCAATCAAAGGTTTTTGATCTTCCTTATATATAAAATAAGCGATGTGCTGATCCGCGTTTCTATCCTTGATATCAGGATCATAAGCAACAACAGTAGTGATACAACCTTTAGAAAAGATAAATATTATAAATCTCCAAAACGTTACAACCCCTTAGATATTACCCTTAGGTAATACTCGGTGTTAATTATTGAAAATAATTTCAAGGTAATACCAACCATCTACCAATTGCTCCTCGTAGATAGTTGGGTTCCTTTCAAAGTCCTCGAAAACAGGCGGATTGTCATTGACATCCTCAATGAAGATCTTCACCTGGGCGGTGTCATTATAAACCCCATCAAAGGCCCTGACCGTCAAATTATACTCAGTAATCTTTTCGTAATCCAAAGGCTTATTAACACGAATCTCTCCAAGACGACTGTCAATGTAAAAGCTGTCATCGGTATTCCCAGAGATGATGCTGTAAGTCACCGGACTTGCCGTATCCGAATCGATAGCCTCAACTTTGGTGACCTGAGCATTAATATTCGCATCTTCCAGAATGGCGGTGGCCGTGTAAATAGGCTGAGTAAAGTGCGGAGGATTATCGTTCTTATCAGCAATATATATCTGGAACACTTGCTGACCCTTGTTATGCTCTCCCGTCTTAAATAGCGCACTAGGTGAATTATCCGTGGCTATCACCCTCACGCTGTAACTGTCCTCGGCTTCCCTGTCAAAGGTAGTGAGCGTTGTGATGTTTCCCGTGATGTTGTCTATGGTGAAAAGGTCCAAGAAGTTGCCCAGTTTATAAGTGACCTGGAGCAATAAATAAGAGAACAGTCGCAAGTCTTTTGGAATGTAGAACTATTCACTCCGCCCAAAACAACTCTACCCACGTCCTTTGAGTACCAACCTGATTATGCGCAGACGTTCCATCCGCGTCGATGGCTCGGACTTGCATCACGGGTGCACCAGGTGGTTCGTTCTCCAGGACGCTCCCCTTCTCTATCTCACGAAATATAGGTATATTGTCATTCACGTCTAACACTTTGATGTTTACCACAGTCTCAGCAGCCAATTGATATTTATTCACCACCCGGACGATCAGAGTGTACTCGGTGTTGCTCTCGTAGTCGAGGTGCTTGGCCAACTTGATATCAGCAATGTTCTTCAAGGACACAATCCTGAAAATAAAATAATATCAATTGTAAGAACGCCATTGGTGGCCTTGCCTTACATACGAATACACATACTGAAAGTGTACATTATACTTAATCTACTGTACTATACTTATCATAAAGTATTTCCCAGTATCTAATCAATAAGACTGAGTACTTTCGAATATCAATAAGTATTATGGGTAGTTCACTAAAGTTTGTCTATTGTATAAAAGATACTTAATGGCACATAAGTAGCTAGTGAACTTCAAAGGAACACCCAGTAGACATTTAACGGTAGTTTAGACAAAATCAGTTCCTGACTAATGTACTCGTTAGCTCCTATTACCTAAAAGTATTTCCCTTGTTGGTCTGCTCGGTTCTGCCAGTCACAAGCTCAAAGAAAAGATCGCCTGAACTCTGGTCAATGTTGGAGACGGCCTCTAGTCTGACGATGCTGGCATCGAAGTCACTGTAATTCTCTTTAAGCCTAATTGGTTCGTCTGGCCTGGGTAAGAAAGATGGCGCCTTCTTGTGCGACTCCACCACACGTATATCCAGGTCAATCACGTTGAACTTTGGCTCCACACCCTTGTCCTGGGCTCTGGCGGTCATGCTGAACTTGTACTCTGGATTTTTCTGAGAACGGGGATTAAAGATATTGAAATATAAAGCAACAAAATGAAGACTGGTGTACGAAGAAAGTAAAAAAAAAAAAGAAGGAATACACAAGGTAAAACTTTGTAAGTGCACTTTCTTAAGTTTATAATATACATTATTCATTAAGCTTAATAACTCACGTCGATGGTCTTGTTCAAGAAGATAATTCCAGTTTCTTCGTCGATCCTAAAGTAGACCCCGTCTTTACGGTTCTTAGGGGTGAGAATGTAATGAACGAGGGAATTATTCCCATCGTCAATGTCTGTAGCAGAGACGCGCATGACCTCTCTTCCAAGGGGTAGATCCTGAGGTACGGATTCCGTGTAGGCCTGAAAATAGACGTAGCAGGGTTATAGTGGGAGTAACGAAAAATAAAAGGAAAAAAGGTGTAACCAGAGCTTTATTGTCATTACAAGGAATGGAGTGAAGGTTGGATACATTTCTGCGTGCTAGCATGCAGACTCGTGCGAGGTGTAGGTGCATCGTATCCCTGTACACGCGCATGCTTCACACACTACGACGACGACGTCTCTCAGGACGACCCCCAAAGGACGACGAAGACCAAAGAGAACGACGCTTACAATGAATATCCTGACACTGATATCGCGTACAATCCATTTTCCTTGAGATTCCTTTTAACGGAGGACCTTTTTCTTCCTGATATCTCTTAGGCAAGACGAAGAAGGTGCGCGTGGATGGGAATACGTGAAACTGCAGGAAGGCAGTGATATCAGTCTCAGGATCAAGTGAAACAGACAAAACACATGTGACTATCGTATATTCCTTCCACACGGGCTTCAAATTCTGACCAACCTTCCACACGTGTCCACGGAAGACCTGATTTCAGGAAAAAGAGTTAAGCAAAGACAGTTAGTGGGAACAATTAATGAATATCGATTAAGGGATACACTGTTTCCTTTAATATCAATAAGCGCACTCCATACTTTTCAAGAGTTCCTGCAGCTCAGATCGGTCGGTTTGACAGGTCATGAAAAGTGACAGATTGAACTTCCACCAGCTGTAAATCTTGATCGATCGCAGTCCAGTGTCAAATTTCAATCCTATCAGAAAGTAACTACGTACCACTTTGTCAAATACTGGAGCATTGTCATTGATATCCTCGATGGTAACTTTAAAGGTGCAAACGTCCTCGAGGGGTGGTCTGCCGTTATCAGTAGCCAAAACAGTTAGATAAGCTTCCTTTTCACGCGTTGGTTCGTCCCTGTCCAAGAACAGGGTCGTAGTGATTACGCCGGTTATGTTGTTAATCTGAAACTTGAGTTTCTCCGCTGGGGACGTGGCGAGCGTGTAGGTGATGGTGCCTGGAAGTGAATCGAGTATTATTAGAATTCAATATTAATCTTATCATACAAATTGTCTCATTAAATTCACGACAATTAATTACCTCCCTCCTCCGGTGGGTCACGATCCTCCGCATGAACTTCAATAACCCTTGTACCAGGTGGTTGCTCCTCCTTGACGACTGGCGCGTAATTCGAACAATTCGAAAACACCGGCTTGTGGTTGTGGCTGAGTTGGATCTGGAAAAGAAAACAAAATTTATATAAATATCACAAAATCAATATCGAACGATGACCACCTTCTTTCTATACACAATAAAATAATATTTCACCGTGCAAGATCTACTAAAATGCAATTCGATTACATTGAGCTCTTTAAAAAATGAAAAGTGAACGAAAAAACACTCGACGCTGTCTCCTGATTTGCCCAATGCGTTTTCGTAAAGCGGTAAAAAAAAAAGTACTAGAACGACAATCCACCGTTCCCCTAGGGAATTTTAAGGGTACCAACAAAAAAAAATTGTCAATGAAAAAAAAATCTAACAATCAGCGGTTATAGTTCATTTAACTTTTGAATTTGCCCCCCCCCCCAACACCCTCTACCCCCTCGAAAGGCCATATTGTATCCGCCAAACTTCTCAAGTCTATTAACAGTTTCAGTACTGTGTTTTGTTTGTGCTCGACAACCCTCAACATGGTCGTTTCTTCTCGACTATTTTTCTATTTTCTTTTTTCTTTTTCTTTTTTTTTTCTATTGTCTTATCAGAAGCGTCGCAAAACTCGCAAACAAGAACCGAGCGAGACGCCCACGCGGAATATCAAGTAACGACTGGTCGGGGGGTTTCTCGTTTCCGGCAACGGCGAGCACAGAATTCACTCGATAAATCCCGAGTATCCGTTGGTGCGCGATGACGGTCTAACGTATTGCGTAAGGCGCCTGCAGTCCATAATCCGATCATAGAAAGAAAAAAAATAAAAGCGAATAACTAAATATAAAAATGACGTAAGAATCGCTCGTATAGGATTAAAGAGATTAAATGAAAAATTCGTTGTAAGGATCGTTACGAATATTTCAAATAAACAAACTTTACCTATTTGTTTTCGATGTGATGGACGGCCAATTTTTATTATAAAAATCTTATCGATTTATTTCGAGAGATTTTACTGGTAGTGATTTATATATCCCTGAGTTAATTGTATATACCACGTGTTACCCACGTGACCAGGGTTATATATAGTAATGGTACGTTACGATGATCGGACTATTTTTATACCCCCGACCACCATCATCCCTTGACGTTTTTCTCTGAAAACAATTTCCGCGTGCGTCACATAAATTTCAAATACGTAAATACGCCTTCCCGAGCTTGTGTGTGTATATATATAAATATATTTCACAGATCGACGTGACTATATAAAAAAAAAAATGCATTAACTTAATCGAATCGAATTTTATAAATTGCAATGTTTATTTTAAGCGAGAAGAAGAAATAAAAATAATATCAATTGAAAAATCAACATTTTTCGTACTTTTTTTTATTTTTTTAATTCAACAAAAAATCGTTTAGTCGCTCAAACTCCTGACGCGCGATAACTATTTCCGAGACACGAAGAATGCACGACGCATCCGAGTATCAAGAGGAACAAAAAAAGTCAGATGCATCCTTGCTGGATGACAAAGTGGATTCTTATCAGTTTCGTTCTTTTCATGTCCTTCGTAGGAGATATGCGAGAGACCGAAGAAAAAAAAGATAAGCTATAAGGATACGGAGACACAGAGAGAAAGAAAGAGATGGATAACCAGAGACTTTATCTCTCACGGATTTATCCGGTAGAGCCTCTCTTGAATTAATAATTTGCTTTGCGAGCCAAGTAGACTGGGAAGTAAAATACTTGCTGCACTTTCAATTCGCGATTGCCGAGTGCACGGAGTCCTGGCATAGGGTGAGTAATGGGAGGGAGAGAGAGAGAGTGATTGTAAATTTTACGTTGCAGGAAAACTCCGTTAACCCCCCGATAAATATTTTAATGTTCGATCGACGAACCAAGTGCGAGGTTTCTATGGTGAAATTTCGTGCGGATATGAAGTGAAAATGAAACGTGAGGAAGTGACGGGTCAACGAAAATATATTGGAAAGAAGGAATGAGATATAAAAAAAAAAAAGAATTATGTCACAAGAAAACATCCGTTTTCGCGTGAAAAATTCATTTCCGCGAATTCGCGTAACCGCAGGGTTACATGATCGAGACCAATTTTCAGCATCTGTTCCCATTAGCTGTATTACTACACTATAGCAGGATGAAAGAGATCAAAAAAATAGTGTCGAAAAATTTTTTTTACGTTTTTTGTAAACTCACCTGTAATATGGCGTCATTTTGCAACTGTGATCTGACGTCGAGGTGACGGGAATGCCTGAGCCTGGTAGCATCGGCTGTAACAAAGGGGAAAAAAATGCATTATATTAATAAACGATTGGGACAAAAAAAATCGAAAAATCATACGGTCCGCTGAATTCAAAAAAAAAAAAGACGAAACGAAAGGAACGCAAAAAATGAAAAAAAAAAATGCAGACAGCTTTTTCAAAAATGTTCGCACCGACCAAACTGCTGAAATTCTACTGTTGCGGCAGATTGCGCGCTTGACGTTTGGGGGGAAGGGAGGGGGGTGTTGATGACGCGTTCGGCCTCGATTTAGCAAAATTCCCATGAATATGCAGGAGAGACTAGAAATCGCATAGTATCGTTTCACATCTCTCCCGAGAATATTCGCCGCAAACTGTATTTTACACTGTCGTTCTATAATTTTCTCATCCGACGCACCATTTTATTTCCATAAACGTAAAAAAAAAACAAAATACATCCAAAGCCGTCTTTTTTCCGATAAACAGTCCTTGTCACGATTACAAACAAGCGCAGAATGCATCGCGAGTATTTTTATTTAAAAAAAAGACGCCGAACATAAATTCGTATTTAACGGCGTTCAGTCAATACGTAAATTTTCCATTTACCGATTAAACCAATAAAAAAGCTTCAGTCACTTAAAGAGTTATTGCTGGATTTATTATCACATTTTTGTTCAATGATCAACCCTCTATAATTTTATCGACCAACAGCATAAAGTCAGACAGGATCGAGAAGGGAATTAAATGTGCGAGACTCGTCCGACTGGAGCTTCTCGGTTCTCCCGTCTGGCGGCGCGCGCGTACCTACAGGCGTTATACGACTGCTACAGTATAATAAAACGAGCCGATTCGATAGCCGATAAAAGCAATAGAAAGGAAGTACTCGCACCATTGCTCATTGAAATTGACATGGCGAAACGAAAATATATACTCTCTCGGCATTTATATTACGTATACCTTTTTCTTTTCTACTTATTTCGGGTATTCCCAGCTCTATCCCACATTCAAAGCCCGATGTAATTTTTCCAACGACGAAAAGAGAAGTATCGACTGATATCGTCCAAGACGGAAATTAATTTCACAGATTTATACCACAAATATAACATCACTGCGCCAGACGATAATTCCCGTAACTTTCTTTGTGGATAAGAAATTAAATCCAATAAAAGTTATCAAAGCTGCAAATATTATGATTATCGGTTTACAATACAATTTTCTCAACCTATAGTGTATACGAGGATATGCAAAGGTAAGTTTTAAAATCAACCAATCGAATATTCGTTCCAAGGACCAACGGCCTTCTATGATTGGTCAGTGTTACTTGTACGGAGTCAAATGCCGGCAATTCACTTATGTTCAGGACTGTTAACTGACTAACTTCAGGTAGCTGAGTGCGAGTTTGTACGAATTTGCTGATATCGAATTTCTAACGTTACACGCGAACTGGAGGCATCTCCCACGCTTTGTTACCTAACCTAACCCGATATCTAAGTCGACCGCAACAAACCTAACCTAATGCTAATCAAACTCGTAGCCAGGCTATACAGAAGCCAAAGGTTCTTCCCCTCTAACGCATACGTAATTTTAAAATACTTCATCTCCCTTGCGTGATAACATTTTCTTGGCACTTGGTTCAGAGCAATTGTCGCGCGAAAAATAATAATTTCCAACACCAGAAGTACCACACGGAAGGGGAAAAAAGTTATAGCCTCTCGCGAGCTACAGGCAGGCAACGAAACAAGCACGCTTATCGATAGTAAATCGATATCGTTAGAAAAGCAATTTGTGCATAGGTTTATGGGTGTGGAAAAAAATGTACTATCAAAGTAAAGAAGAAAAAAAAAACGAATAAAATCTGTTTGACAAAGATAAGCGTCATTAAAAGCATACAATATTTTCGAGCGTGAAAAAAAAAGTCAAAATAAAAATTTTCAAACTCGGAGCGTTGTCGAAAAATAAAAAAAAAACATTGAATAGACAAAATCTCGCGTCGTCAATAAATTAGCCGATTTAAAAGCTGCCTTTGGTCTTCGCGTAAGTCGATGCACTTTCCTAAAATGCATGTGCAGCCCGAATGCATCCCACTAGATGCAATTTCAGGAAAGCACGAAGCCACCGCCAGATAACAATGCAACGGGAATTAGAGGGCGGTAGATGTGAATTTTGAATACGTCGTGTAGTATGTGATTCGGTATAGTCGAAGGGAAAGAGGTTAGCGGTGTGTATATATATATATATATATATATATATATAAAAATGCATCCCATCCACCGATACATTACCATAAAGATAATTGAGATAATTCCCTCATGCAGCCGGGATGCAGCTGCTGATATCGTGTACAGAGCTGCCGGAAAAAATAGCACAAAGGTCGGATGTCACAGGGTTGATTGAATATATGAGAATTGGAGGAAGGGAAATGAAAAAAAAAATCGGCCTACAAATTTTTTTTTGGAAATTTTCGAAAAATTCACAAAATATATTTCAAGGCCGTAGAAGTGTACACAGAGGGGTACAGGTAAATTTTCGATAGGGTAAATTAATTATCTACCCCCCCCCCCCCCACCACCC